TCATTTCCTTAGGAAACAATCATGCCCCTGAATGAATCATTCCCATTTATGTCCCTCTTCTTAGGCTAAAAGGTTAAGCCCAGACTCAGCTCACCCAGCTTCAGATGGTTTGTGTTAAGTAGGTCAGTTTGCAACCTGTGTTATCATCCTATTCATGTCCCCCACTTAATCATGTCAGAAGTGCATTGTAGAGCATGACTTTTGTATCATAGTTTAGTGAAAGGAACTATGTACTGGCCAGACAAACGTCTGAGCTCTTTTCATTGCAAGCAGTTGTGCAACATGGAAAAATATCATTGTTTTATGTTATCATTATTCCTTAAATAGGTTCTTGATTTGACCCTGTTATGCATTGAATGAAAGATCAGAAGCTCAGTGAATAGAAGGGATTACAATTTAGGTGTTGTTATTCTATATCTGAAATAACAATGGAAGTTCATAGTGTAATTCTAAATGAATAAATAATTACATTCATTCCTAACTTTTTGACTCACTGTACATAATAACTGTTTTAAACACATCTGTTCTTAAACTCTTGACATTTAAGACATTCATTAATGTGATTTTCAGTTTTATGAAAGAATAAGCAGAAAAACTTTTCTCTCTATGATTTCTGACACCGCTGTATATTATCTCCTTTACTTTTCTTCCTCTATATTTTCTGCTCCAAAAAGGACTTGTATCACTTGATAATCAATTTAAACCAACAGATATTTCTGAGGCATTTGGTTAATAAAGTGCTGTCAAGGGGTCAAGGACAAAACAAAAAAGGTAGGAAAATTTTACTCTAGGTCCCCAAAATCTTAGAACTTAGACATGACACAGGGGTGGGCATTTGGTCTGCGGTTTAAGGTGCTAGTGGCTCATTATTAGAACTCCTACATTCCATCCTTGCTTCCAACTCTTGCTAGCATACACCATGGGAAACACCAGTGATGGCTCCAGCAGCAGTGTCCCTGGTGCTGGTGTGGGAGATCTGGCTTGAATTCAAGGAAGATGCATATTATGGAAAACTTTTGCATGAATTTGTTGAAAACAAAATTGAAATTCATCTTTTGTGAACTTTTTGAAGTCCCCTCCTGCTCCCAATACATGTTATGTTTACATGAGTCTGTGTCATCTGCCTTGAATTATAATCTCAGCTGGATTGCAACTTCAGTGAAACTTCATCTCACCAATTGTCAGAATAGCAGTATAAGTATTTATTTTGTGCGCTGACACTTTTGCTATAATGAAAGGAAGCCAATGGTCCCAGCTTCTGTGAAAGTCTCTGTCAGGTTCTCACCCAACATTAGCCTGGGACCTGCACTAAACATCATTTCCCTGAGATTTGAATTTCCATTGCCCCCTCATCTCGTTTCCCACACTCCTTTGTATCTCTTTTTCTGCTTATCGTTCTCTCGCTGCTATCTAAGCTTTCCACTTGCTCATGTGAAATGGTGTTGTCATCCAGTAAGAATGTACGAGAGTCAGTGGTGTGCAAAGCCAAACAGTAGTGAGGGATAAGAGAATACTTAGCCACGACATAGCCCATGCCCTTTACCCTGCACCCTTCTTTCCCATGTACAGCGTTGCTGGGGAGATAAATTGTCCAAAACAGTTGAGAAGAATGTGGGTACTCATGGGCATGTTTGCTTCAGAGTTCCCAGAAGAAGATGATGATGGGATGCTGGCAAATAGGTGGGGAAAGGTTCATAAAGTGTAACTTGCATCATGAAGAATGGGCAGGACTTTGCTTATTTGGAGGAACAAGGCAGAGAATTCAGTAGGGCTAAAGTTCATACTAGGAAGTCCTAAAGATGAGAATGAATAGAGAAATAAAACGCTACTGAAAGTCAGGGAGAGAAAAAAATGGATTTTAACGAACAGATTTTAACTGACAGTCTGAAGTTCCATTTTTTTTTAAATTGGAATAAAGGTTATTTTAAAGTATATTTGAAAGTCATTGATACAGGCAATGGAGAGGACCAGGAGACTTTTTGCACAGGGAAGATGTGATGAAATCAAAATACTTGTTAATGTGATGATAAAATGTAGAAAGATTTGAGCACAGTGGAATCCTATAGAGGGAGATCAGCAGTGTGGAGACAATCCATTGTTACAGCCTACGATCAAGGCCATGACTCTTCATCAAGGCTCAGGTAGGGATGGAGGAAAGTACTGGATCATTCCCTCAGGCTCTGCTCCCCAGCAGAAAAGTCCAGTAGAAAGGTTTAAAAAATAGTGACTTACTAATGAATCATTCCCCCACCCCCAGATATTAGGGAGAGATTTAGGGAAGAACTCGACTAGCAACAGAGTACCAGGAAAGCATGATTTCCAGTCAGGTCCAGTCCTTGCCCTGGAGTGGAAGGGGAGCTCCACCTGGAGCCCCAAGATTGATTTCTGAGTCCCTGCACTAGGGGATTGCCTGTGGAGTGGGACAAGGGTCGGAAAGGAGAAAACCACTCCCTTCTGGGATATAAGCCACTCGCGAACCCAGTGATGGTCAGCTGAAAAGAGTCTCAGGCGGAGTCATTCAGAGAAAAATGTAAGGAATGTATGAGGCTTGTGTGTTACAATTTGCAGAGTGACTTTGCAGATGGGAGATGCTTGAGCCTGGCGCCATGACCTAGCGGCTAAAGCGCTGGCATCCCCGGTTCTAATCCTGGCAGCTCCACTTCCCATCCAGCTCCCTGCTTGTGGCCTAGGAAAACAGTGAAGGATGGTCCAAAACCTTGGACCCTGCACCTGTGTGGGAGTCCTGGTGGAGGTTCCTGGTTCCTGGCTTTGGATCGGCATAGCATGGGCCGTTGTGCTCACTTGGGGAGTGAATCGTTGGACAGAAGATCTTTCTCACTGTCTCTCCTCCTCTCTGTATGACTTTGCAGTAAAAACTTTTAAAAAGGGAAATGCTTGTTTAAGAGAAAAAGAGAGACACTAACCCTAAACATTGATCTGTGACTTAGTGCGGTTTTGAATTTTGTTAGTATTTATCATGTTTAGATAATTTGTTCGTATAATCTAATGGTATGAGGTAGGTTCTATAAGATGTGGAAAATATGTTTTTCATGTAAAATATAAATGTATATGTAGCACAAAGCAGCCCTATTTAGTTGACATGCCTTCCACCTCTTTTCATTCACACTTATCCCCATGTTTAAGTGACATATTCTCTTACTCCCAAGAAAGTTGCACCTTATGACAAGAATTTAGTTGAATCCAATAAATAAGGGTGTGCTTTATTTGTTTAAAAATAAAGTAAGACTATTGAGCAGTGCTCAGATGTGTAATTGCTCATAATTTTGAAAGGAAGCCAGTCTGTGACTTTTGTCAGTATTATAGATGCATAGACAGATGAGATGATCGGACTTAACCAGAGTTGGAAGTTAGTCAAGTAAGTTAATGGGAATGAAAAAGGTTAAAGTAGTTAGATCCTTGCTAGTAAATGACTATGGTGATTGGTCAGTGGAACCCATGATTCCAAAAAATGTCAATCAACCAATCAACCAGTAGTAGAATTGATGAGCTAATTGGAGGATTCTATGTAATCAAATTGGTAAATAAGTTGAGGTTTAGGGACAGAGAGAAAGCTTGAAATGGTACAGCTCTTCTAAGGTCACATCCACAGTGTCATATAGAGGTCATCAAGGGCTGAGCTGGAAGTTACAGAGCAGGTGAGGGCAAAGAAATGAGAGGCCAGGGTTCTCAGCAGATGATGCGAGTAAGATGGAAAAGTTTTCAGCTGTTTTACCTCTTGCTTATTCAAATAAGAGCAAAAGGAAATAAAAACAAACTCTGCAAGATGTCCTGAATGGATGAGCAACTAACTTCTAAAGCAGTGTTTATTCACCTTGGTACAAGAATTAGGTACAATGATTAGCTAAGTAACAGTGGCATTTCATTTTTATTTTCTGCACATTTACATACACAAAGATAATGTGAAGCCTATGTGGTTCTCTTAATCAGTACTCAGTTTTTCCCAAGACTACTTGTCAGAAGCCATTGACTTACTGGAGGAAATAATTTAAAATCTATCAAAAGCTAATAAAAATGCCCATCACGTTTTACAAGTCAAGTCTTTAATATTTTGTTGTGTCATTAGTTAGTTGTATCCTACCTTTTTTCCCAAAGGAATTTTTAGTCGTCTGTGTTCTATATGTAAAACTATATGGTCTTGGGACAGATGGTAAGAGATATTGAATGAAAGATATAGTCACAGAACAATGGAGCTTAACTCAGTATGGACTGAGCCAAGTGCATGTGCATTCAATTCATGGCGTATGCATTTTCTTACACTTGCATAAATTCTGTATTTGTTGTTTATTTATCTTGACTTACCAGCTTCAAGAGCGAAGTAATTTATTGTAGCTATACAATCAGAACAACATTTATTTGTTCTAGATGTATTTATAAACCTGTGATCTCTCCATTTGTGCATTTACTTTATCATAGCTGTGCTCTATCTAACTAACTAACCAAACTCAATGGTTCCTCATGAAATGACAGCAACACTTAGCAAATGATAGCAGAGCAAGCTATGGGGAGAGTTTAGGGTGATACATTTTTATTGAGAGAAATTAGGAAGGCTTACTCAGCCCTGCAGTAAGGGATACATGTTTCACACTAGACCTATAGGAAGTGACTGAGTTTTAAACTTTCTTTTCCTCATTTATGAAATGCAATAACAATTTGTTACAATTGAGTGAACTAGAGAAGAAAGAGAAATACTGAAATACAGGATAGTATCGTTATTTAGGTCTACCAGAGTCATTTAGTAGAAATCTTTTTGAATAAATAAGTCAATCATTTGAGAAGTTTAATATCCATTTAATATTTAGTTCTTTGGGGATGTTAATATCTACTGAACGGCTATGTTCACTGTATCAAAATAAAAGGGTTTCGGTGTTGCTGGCTTTTTAATCTGAAAGCTAAAGTGCATTGGATCGACATGTTTAGCAAATGGAAATGGAAGAGGGAATTTTGACAACTGAGTTACTCACAGTGACTTGGCATTTCAGGTGGGAATTGTGCAGTATGGAGAAGATGTAACCCATGAATTCAACCTCAACAAGTATTCATCAACGGAAGATGTCCTTGTTGCAGCAAAGAAAATAGTCCAGAGAGGTGGCCGCCAGACAATGACAGCCCTTGGAATAGACACAGCAAGGTATGTGGGTAAAAAATAAACCAAAAGAAATGACGGGACAAAATAACAGCTTACCATTTAGCTCTTTGGGGTAGTCAGTTGAGTTTACTTTAGCAAAACATAAAGTTTTTTTTTAATTAGATATATAAGATTAGCTAATTATGATTTTCTATGCTCACCCCGGTTTCCTATCTTTTCCTGTTATTTAATTGGTGGAGAATTTAAAAAATCCTTTTGTATGTTACATCATGTTTATAGGCATTAATACTTGTTCATAGTTAATGTTTATCCATTTATTTGTTATTTTCAGTTTCTAAGATTCCAACCAAAAAGAGCTGAATCAGTTAACTCGTTTCTGCATTGTCTTATGTTCATGCATCTTCAGTACTTGCTGTGGAATTATTGAAGTACTCAGATAAGAGTTCTAAGAGACAAATTAAATATCATCCTATATGACATCATTTTTCATGCAAAGATTCAAAGAAATGGAAAAGGGTTTATTGCTTATAAGACTTTCTCTTTTTTATCCCTTTACTTTCTCTAAATTTCGTCCAGTTTATATCCCTTCCTTTTTCCATTCTGCAGTTTTTAGTGGCAAATGCATAAACCACCCTGTGGTTGAATTTCATTTAATAAGATTCTACCAAGCTCACTCTTTGTACACATGTAGAATTTTATTTCCTGTATTTTCTGTGATTTTTTTTCAGTCCTTATCTCTTACTGTTTCTCCCCTCAGTTACCCTGAAAGTGCACAAGTTTCTGAACAAAAATGAAATAATTTCCAAAGCACAGAGAAACTTTGTAGAAGTATGACAAAGGGTAGCTTCTCTCCTGTCAAGTGTGTGCAACCTCTGGACTCTCACTTGACTTCGAAGAACTAATAACCTGGGCTCTTGCTTCACCTGCCTGAGAAAATTCATGTTTTAAGAATGTGAAAATAGTTGATATGGATGCTCCTAAAGAATGGGTTGAATATTTTCAAATTTGACATCTCATGTTCAGGTTTTTGGCTTACAAACGCTAGAAACCCATGTGATTTGGGCTATATGGGGCCTCAGGCAAAAATAACCGCACACACAGGGTCATTTTACCTTGACCTGTTCCTGGGTCACCCATTTGCATGCACAAAGCGTGTATATGTTTACATAGATTGAATGTGTACCCTCAATAATTAACAAAATGTGACCACACATTCAAAGCAAATCAAAGTATTCCGTGAAGGCCTGGAGTCTGTAAGTGCATTTTCCTCAGGCAGCTGCCGAAGAATGAATATTCATGTCTGAAAACACCAACTGAAGAAATATTCTGAGCGGTCTGGCTCTTGCATAAACACCGCTCTGGCTGCCGTGTCCCTGTATGGGTTTTGCCTCCATGTTTCACAGAGAATCTAGCTAAGGGACACAGCATTGTTTGCATTTTGAATTTACACAGAAGGTTCATAATGCTATCACAGAACAAAACATTTTTCTCACACATTTGTTCCTTATGTTAAGTATATTTTAAATCGCTTCTGTTCCTTCAGGCATGCCAACTTACAAACAATGTTACAAATATTTCAACATTATTTACCTCCATTTTCAGCTCAAAAGTTCCTGTATTTTCTCCCTAGCCCAAATCTTAATTCTTGCTGTTAAGCATAAGGCCAAGATTCATTCTCCCAAAGGCTGGGGGCAGGGGATCCTTCCCAGGCTGTTTTCTTTTTCAGTAGCATGCAGGGTGGTCAACACTTAATTCCCAGGAAGGATACCAGAAACTGGTATTTTGGGGTCAAGAACAATTTGCTAAGAAGTATATTTGAAGCAGAAAGGATATACTTGGGAGTTCTGCCAGTGGCTACTTTTCCATTATATAAAGCCAGCCTGGCTTCAGAGCAAACAGATTTTCTTTAAGAAAGGCCTTTTAATCATCTCCTTCAGCTGGTGTTCATTTAGTCATTGGTTCCATTATGACCTTGATCTTTACGAGAATTTAGGAAGCTTTGGTGGGTGATCCTCTTCGGAATTATAAATGCAAAAGCACTGAATTTCATGCAGCATCATTTCCAAACATTTTTAAAAGACCAGCCTTTACCATCTGTTTTTGACCTTTGTGCAAAGCAGTAGAGGATGGCTCAAGTCCTTGAGAGCCTGCATCCATGTGGGAGACCCAGAAGAAGCTCCCGGCTCCTAGCAAAGGATCAGTTCAGGTCTCACCATTTGGGGATTGAACCAGTGAATAAAAGATCTTCTCGCTCTGTCTCTCTTTCTCTCTCTCTATAAAATCTACCTTTTAAATAAAAATAAATAAATCTTTTTTTAAGGAGTAAATAAAAATACAAAACAAAACAAAATAATGACTGTGCCATGATCTGGAGTAAATCAGAAACTATTTCTTTTTTGAGATTAGTTTTTCTTTTTTGAGATTAGTTTTTTTGAGATTAGTTTTTTATTGTAAATATATATATATATATTAGTTTTTTATATATATATAAATATATATATATTAGTTTTTTATTGTGTATATATATAGTATATATATATATATATATTAGTTTTTTATATATATATAATTTACAAAGAGGAGAGGCAGAGAAAAAAATCTTTCATTCAAAAATCTAGTTCAATTCCCAGATGGCCGCAATGGCTGGAGCTGAGCCAATCCAAGGCAGGAGCCAGGAGCTTCTTCTGGGTCTCCTATGGGGGAGATGTAGGGTCCCAAGGCATTGGATCATCCTCCATTGCTTTCCCAGACCATGGGCAAGCAGATGGGTCAAAAGTGGAACAGCTGACACATAAACTGGTGCTTTTAAGGAATAGCCAGCTGAGCTACCACACTGGCCCCATGAAACTGCTACACATAAGGAACCCCAAGCCTACCTACTTGAACAGGGTATGGGTATTGGTTTTAGCAAGAAGCACCAGCCACATAGAGTTGTCAGAGTTCTAGTTTGACTTCTCACTTTGCCTGACCTTGGAATGATGCTTTGCCAGCCCATCTTTTGTCTTTTCTCTGTGATGACTTCAGGAAGGAGGCTTTCACTGAGGCCCGGGGTGCCCGAAGGGGAGTTAAGAAAGTCATGGTTATTGTCACTGATGGAGAATCCCATGACAACCATCGACTGAATAAGGTCATCCAGGACTGTGAAGATGAAAACATCCAGAGATTTTCTATAGCTGTAAGTACACCACTCTTGGTTAAAGAGGAGGGATAGGTGCCCATTGTGGTAGATTTGTGAAGGCAACCCGAACAAGGTTGAGAGGCGATGCTTGACCACTGAAAAGAGGAAAGCTTTGTGACAGCAGGATTGAGTCTCTGACCTCCTGTGTCCTTCGTGCCCAGCCAGACACTCCAAACCAATGTCAAAAAGTAAAGCTGGAAGAAAGTAAGGAAAGATGAAATGACCTAGAGGCATGGATATTGAGCCATACCATTTGTGATACCTCCTAGCCTTATCAAAGTGCCAGGGCTTAAGTCCTGGCCCTGCTTCTAATCAAGATAGCTGCTAATATGCAGTCTTGGTGGCAGCACTGATGATTTTAAGTACGTAGGCCCCTGCCACCCACATGTGACACAGGGATAGAATTCCAGACTCCTGGCTTGAAGCACTTGGAAAATGAAACAATGGGTAGAAGATGTAGCAAGTGTTCTCTCTCTAATCTCAGTCTATATTTCTGTTCTACTTTTCAAACAAATTGATAAAATGTTTAAATTATGTATTTATATAGCATAAAAGATTTTAAAAGAATAAGGATTTAGAAATAACAAGAAGAGGGAGAAAAAAGAGGGACAGAAATAGCAGAAAGGAAAAGGATGATGGAGAGAAGAGGAAGGAATGAGGGAGAGATAGGGAATGAAGGAAGGTAAAATAAGACATGGTAGATAATGAAAGCATTGTCTGCTAGTTGGTCATTCTTGCTGAAATTTTGGAGGATGGAAGCCGGGACATGACTTTTATTGTAATCTATGAAAACACAATAATGACAGTCCCATACCAAACATTTTTGGTCAGTCTACCCTGTACTTAGGATGTCCTAAGTTATTTCATTTACCAGAATCAAGAAAAAGAAGGGCAGGATTGGGGTGGGAAGTGGAGAAGGCAGCAAACACTACACTGTAGATGCAGAAGAACATTCGTTTAAATTCTCTCATTGTCTTGCATAAAAATTACTGAGATAATGGTTGTAAAAACATCTGGTGTAATAGCAAGTTAGTCATTCAAGAAATATTCTTTTTCTTAAGCACCCTTAACTCAAGTTAACAATCAGGATTTAATACAAAAATTCTGTGCATTATACTAAAATGATGGTGTTTTCAAGCTACAAGGAATACCCCTTTGCTTAGAAACCTCCGGAGTTTCTCAGAGACAACCACACAACAACGCCACTATGTGTTGGCTTTCTAACCTGTCCATTTCAGAGTTTTTGCTTGCCCCAGCTTGGAGGGAACAGAGCCTTCACTCCTCTCATGAACTGATTGACTCTGTAACTAGCTTAATTTCATCATTTACATTTTGCCTGTCTGCCACAAGGAAACTTGAATCTTCACTGTGCATATAAGGCACCTATTAACAGGATTGCAGATGTTTTTGCTCGATATATGTGAGTGAAGTAGGAGTAATTCAAAAGTTGAAGTGTTTTTATAAATCTCTTTCATACAAAATAATGCTTTTCCGGTGTTTTGCAAAGTTTTTATCCTTGGGTATAGGATCAAAATACATTTCTATTCCCATTCTTATTCTATGATGTGAAATATTTCAAAATTAAATAAAAGGGATGTCTTTCCTCTCTTATGTTGCTCTCTACATAGACTCCCATATTGTATTTATATATTTTTTTTCTTTTTAAGAATGTTTTAATAGACACATATGTTGTACATATTTATGGGATGCCATGTGATGTTTGATACATCTATGCAGTGTGTGATATCCGGTTAGGGTAAATCTATCTGCTTCCTGCAATTTTTTACATCCATTCATGCTGAAATATTCAAAGCATTATATTCCAGTTTTCAGATTGTTGTTCTTCAACTATGTCCCTTGGGTGCTTTTTAGAGTTTATCTGTGTTTTTAAGATAGAGAAGTTTACCCATTTATCTGCATATATAGCATATATCACTAGTATGTATGTGATAACATTCACATCACAATTGAGAACCTCAATCACAATAGACCGAAATCATTTGATTTTGTGTGCACTTTTAGCTGCATCAGATTATAAGCAAAAGCAAGTGAATTTGTCAGCCCCATTGTGACTGCAGAATATTCTAAGTGAAACCAGGGACCAGAGATCAAGAATTTTCAGTCCCAGATATTGTGTTATCTAAAGAACAAACTAGAAATATGCTCGGGGACTCAGAGGACTTTGAGGGATTAAGAATCTGTATGAATATAAAGGACATGCACCAGTATAAAAACTGTTGACAAGAAGGAGCCAGAAATGCCACCAGAGAAGCATATTGCAGATAAAAAGCTTCTCCTGAAGTTTGGAGAGCCTGTCCTGCTTTCTGTGTTTCCTTTGGGTCTTAGTCGTTCCAGATGTGGCCAGATACTCGATTGTTTTCAGGTAAGAGGGAATTTGTTGAGTGTAGTGAAGGCAGTGGCGATTAGATTTCCCTTCCCCATTGGGTTTTCCTTCCTCCATTCCTGAAGGCTTAATTAAAGTGGGGTTTAGGTAAAGTAGAAAAAAGAAAGTGTCAGTCTTCTTTTTTCAAAGGTCAGTAGCTTCCAATGTCTGGCACTTGCTTTTCAACAAAGTAGACAAGAATTAAACTTCTCTTTTGTGCTGGGATTTACAGGTTGTTGGTTTAGACTTCTATACTGTACTTCTGGACATCCTAGTGGAGAATAAGCACAAAAATATTTTTTTAAAAAAAGCTTCTCAAATGCTATGCCAGTTCCTTGACAGCCAGCTCTCGGGTGGAGCTGCCTCAAGTCCTCTGGCATTACTATGGCATTTCCTCTAGTCTGCGCAGTGGTGTTCCCCAGGAGGAGAGATGAAGGCCTTCTCTAAGGAAAATGTCCAGAATAAGTATGCTCCTACCTTTTGTCCAGTAAGGACAGTGTAACATCTGCATTACCTACCCCTGCAGATGGTGCACGACTCATTCTCTGACTTTTGCGTTTAGTGTACATTATAGTCATTCAGCCATGGTGTTAAACCTTTATCTGTGTTCTGTTGTAGATCAGCAGCAGCAACACAAGCAGTAATGTTAGTTCTGTTCTAATTCTATAAGTGAAAAGCTGTATCCTTCTTAATAAAAAAAAAGTAATACTTTTTAAAAACTACAGCATCTAAACCTAACTTTAAATATATACACAGACATAGTGCAGAGGGGAAATATTTATATGGCTTTGAGGAGACAGAGACTCTGAGGGGATGGCACTGGGTGCAGGCTAGGGGCGTTTGGTCTCCCAGTCCACAGTACAGAGCCATGAGGGAAGGGCATCTAAGGTCTGTTTTGCAACAGGACCTCGAAGGCACCCTATACACCTCACTCTTTTCAATGATGTGAAGCCAGAAAGTGCTTGTATCTTCATGGTCACTGCAGGTCAATTCTCCTCTTCATGGAGGCAAGTCTCAATAATGAGCAGTACTTCAGTAGTTTTTGACTTGCAGGAGTACAGCATGAATCAGTGATGATCCTTTGTCCAAGCCCCACTGTCGGCATTTGTCAAAGTATGGCCCCCTTGATTTGTGTCTGTGCTTGCAACCTCATGTGTATATTCTGTTAATAGGGCTATAATTATCTCACCCAAAACAAGAGTGAGTGCTAGTCTGTGGTCAGCCATTGCCGACCACATTCAACACCTGTCTTTCTCCTTCTGGCTAGCTGCCAGATCAGATTATCTGCTCATCATCCTGTGCTATCTTTCTTAAAATATAATGTTTCGACAAATTTACACACATGAAATTTTTAGCAAGTGCTTTATTGTTGTTAACTTTATATGAAAGGTATTTAGTTTATATAGAGCAGCTCAGAACTCTTTAAATGTAACTTTATATTGTTGAGATTTATCCATAGTATTATATAGTCAAATAGTTCATGCATTTTTTTTTCTCATTGAGGTCACATTTACATGCAATGAAATGCAAAATTTCAACAGGAAAAGTGTGTGCAAAGTGAACAGCAATGGTGACTTTTAAAAATTGTAGATGTTCATGCAATTAACTTTCCGTCAAGATACAGAACAGCGCTACTCGTCCTGGGAAGCTTCTTCACGTGTTGAATGCACAGTTCTCTTTACGCCCACTGATGTGACTTACGGCACAATGGCTTCCTTGAGTTGTCCGTTCGTGAATTTCCTATGAGTGAAATCATTCAGTTTGTACTCTTCCAGTGAGCCTTTCCCTCACTGAATGATTATCCGTATTTGTAAAGTTGGTATTCATTCCTTCATAATTGTTATCATTCGTTAGATGAGAATATAACAGTTTGTCCTCTGTTTATGAGTGTTTGGCTTGTTTCCAGCATTCATACTTATTAAAGTTTCCATGAACATTAAAAAATTAAAAACCAAAGTAATAACCTTAAAGTAATACTGAAGTAAAAAATTAAACTTTTTTATTAAGGAAGTATTGTTTTCTTTGGTAAAAAAAAAACAAACAAACAAAAAAAACCAAAAACAACTCCCAAAGATACCTTTAGGCAAATATAGGAACATACTGAATCTTTTCATAAAGAGAAATAAATTGTGGTGCAAATTACTTTTCTTTTCTCCTTAATGCCTACAGAGCTGTGTAGTTTTAAAAATAGAATTAGGTCACATTTACGTATATATGGAGGCTCTGTTTCATTTCTCTGTCTTTCTGCTTTTCAAATTAACTAAATTTAAAAAATTGTTATAAAGTACGTGTGTGTGTGTGTGTGTGTGTTTGAACTGTCTCTACATCCATGACTTTTAGGAAGAACTTCCCATCTAAGATCAAAAAACGGACTTTCCCAGCAGCTGGTGATGTCACAGCTGGAAGAGCATCAGAGGCGTTTAGAACTGTAACGTTATTTTGAGCTGGCACTTTTCAGTGATGCAGCTACTTCAAACAGGGCCACAGGAATGCAGGCGGAAAGTTTCAAATACAAAATCTCCATCCATATCATCCTGCGTGAAATGTAATGCTTGCATAATGGTCCATACTGGGCCTCCATATCTTCTGAAAATTCCTGGCTCCCCAAATACGGAAACACATCCAAACTGCGTTGTGCGTTCCCTCATTTGCCGACAGCACTGATTTGTTGGAGAGCCTTATCTAAATTCCAGGATTTTATAACATATCCTTGGCATTTTTGTTTCTTACTTAGATTCTTGGCAGCTATAATCGAGGAAATTTAAGTACTGAAAAATTTGTGGAAGAAATAAAATCCATTGCAAGTGAACCAACTGAAAATCATTTCTTCAACGTCTCCGATGAATTGGCCCTTGTCACTATCGTGAAAGCTCTGGGAGAAAGAATATTTGCCCTGGAAGGTAAATGGCTGCTTCTCTCAACCCTGCCTGTCCTCACTGAAAATTCAGACTCAAGATAACGGGTGTTTGGTGCCTACTCCTGTCACATCGCAAATACAGTCCCACTGTGTACATTAGGCAGTATGGAACAACTCCCTTTGTGTAAGTGTGTCACTGAGAGGGCTGTCTCACACAGCACCATATCTTCTGGAAGCCCTTTCTGTAAGTGTACCGCAGCACACCGGTTCGAGAGCTCTGAGAAGGGATGGAGACGATGGTCGAACGGGCACTTGAGATCAAAAAGGTCCCTTTCTCTGACATAGCTTCAGTCTGTGCAGACACTAGCTCATTTGTTTTGCTTTGTCTCTTTATTACATTTGGCATTGCTATGAGAGTGTTCCTATGCAATAACTTTTTTATTCATTTACTTCCTCCCTCCCCTCTGCCCAACTTTTTTTTTTTAACTTCTTGCCCATTTGAAAAGACTTCATGGAATTATTGCTTAAATCCTTTGGGAGTGAAACTTCCATTCAATGTATGTGTCTAAATCATGTCACTTCTTGGTAGATTTTTCAAAAATGACTGTTGAGGCTAATGAGTCCTCCTCTGCCTTACATTATGGATGTTAAATAACAAAAATTTTGAAACTGGATCCTTCCTGGCAAAAGATCTTCAAAACTCTTATGCCAGGGCAGCTGGCAAAGCCTCATTCTTTGTGTCCTTCTGTGAGCTGGAGTCTCAGAGAACACCTCCCCCTTTGCTCCAACTTGGAACAGAACTCATAGAAGAAATATTTTGCCCTTTAAGCAGCATTTAAGTCATATTGATTCTGCCCTTGAGAAAACAGGCTAAACGATTGTCACTTCTACTTCTTGAACTTCTCTGTCTTCCTGCTGTCCCCTGACTGCTAAGCAGCTGAAATGGAAAAGAGGCATGACCGAAAAACGAGGGCTCATGTAGACCGAACACCCACAGACCAGATGACGGCACAATGAAATGCATAGAAATGATAGTAAAGTATTCTCTTCCCGAATTGTACTCACTACCTTCTTTGTACTGGACCTTGTGCTAAGACTTAGATTAGCCTGAGCCTGGCATGATGGCTCAGTGGCTAAATCCTTGGCTTCCGTGGGCCAGGATCCCATGGGTGCTGGTTTGTGTGCTGCTGCTCTGCTTCCCATCAGTCTCCCTGCTTGTGGACTGAGAAAGCAGTGTAGGGTGAGCCAAGGCCTTGGGACCCTGCACCCACATGGGAGACCTTGAGGAAGCTCCTGGCTCCTGGCTTCGGGTCAGCTCAGCTCCAGCCATTGAAGCAACTTAGGGAGTCAACAAGTGGATGAAAGAATCTTTCTCTCTGTTTCTCCTTCTCTCTGTAAATCTATCTTTCCAATATAAATAAATACACTGTTTAAAATATGCAGGCTTAAAATGCATCTTAGTCTTTTAAATTACAGGTAATTGATGCAAGAATTTAAAATGACCTCTTTGAATTCTTGATTGATTGCTCCATTTTATTTAATCCTATAAAACTATTGATGTATTCGTTCAAATTTTTAGGCTGGTAGAGAACTAGCAAACAAGTTTAATTGCACAAATGTGATTATTCACATGCCTCGATGAAAAAACTGGCCGACTTTCTTAAAATTATGTATTATTTTTAACTTTATCCTCAAGGCCAAATAAATCAGTAACTCCCCACTGGAAGCAAGTAAATCAACATTCTCACAGTTCCCTCAGGAAATTGTGGCTTTGGGTTCATGATTATTTTGAGAATAGTTTGAGAATTGCGCACTTCCATAGAATGCTCTGGATTATCTCTGCATTTCAGTACAGAGTTTCGAAATGGGTTAAGAAACTTTAAGAAATACAGGATTAAATAGTATGGGAACAGATCCACCCCCTGTCAAAACACCCACCCCTCATCTGTGTGTCATGCCCAAAGGCAACAGTCAGAACAGAGGGACTCCTAAACCATCTCAAACAGTCTGTGAGGTCTAGGGCCCAAAGTATGAGTGGGACTGCCTAGTCCAGAAACACAACGGGAATGGAATTTTTTCAGCCCCGTAACGCATCAAGTAAGGTTAACCCAAGGTTTCAGCAGGGTTTCTAGAATGAGGGTGTACGACAGAGGTTTCCTACAACTGTGGGCTCTACCTTCATCCCTGTGGGACTGTGAGACTCAGGGACTCAAAGCATACAGCATAATAAGAATGGAGATTTCCAAGTTCTCACAAGGATTGGGAAACTAATGAGCAGGAATCCAAGACAGGACCCTTTCACTAAACTTCTCATCTACTCAGCCCTACTTAGGACTTTTAGCCTAAGAAATACATGGCTGATCATGCCTTATGGTGGTAGAAATTCTGGTTAGCGAGACCCCAGACTCTACCAGGTCACTGTGTGTGTCCCGTAATTCAGCAACGCACTGGAAAGCATTGTGAGCTGATTACTGTGGTATTTTCCTATTGCAGCTACAGCTGACCAGTCAGCAGCCTCATTTGAAATGGAAATGTCTCAGACTGGCTTCAGTGCTCATTATTCACAGGTATGTGATTTTTAAAAAAAGAAAGTGATATCTTCTTGCAAAATTCTCCCGCTTGTAAAACTAACAGCCATACACGGGGTTCATAGTTTGGGCAGTTTTGAAGTACATGATGACATTTTTGTAATATAAATAGGGGGATGGAGTGCCACCGGCTTCTTACTAGGAAAACATACCATCTCAAACATCTTACTACATTACAATAATAATTATCAATCAACCAATTCAACCTTGCGTTATGTAATTGTATATTTGGCTGAATAATATACCGAGTATATTTATAAAAATAAAAGGATGCATCTTTGCTCAGCTCTTGAATGCTCAGTGTGAGAGCATTCAAGGATCTTGCTAGAATTCTGTGTTTAAAGACAGAAAAAGTAAGATGCAAAAACATTATCATTTGCAGTTGACAAATTAAATAGCATCATAGACCATGTACATGGTGTTTCCACAGTATAACCTTGGAGAAGATAAATACTATGCCTCCATTTCTTTTTCTGTGAAATAAGGATAGGAATTATAATATCTAGGGCCCAGTGTGATGGCCTAGTGGCTAAATACTTGCCTTGCATGTGCCAAGAACGCATATGGGCACCGGTTCATGCCTTAGTTGCCCCACTTCCCTTCCAGCTCCCTGGGAAAGTAGAGGACATCCCAAAGCCTTGGGATCCTGCGCCCACATGGGAGACTCAGAAGAAGCTCCTGACTCCTGGCTGCAGATCGGCTGGGTTCTAGCCGTTGTGGCCACTTAGGGAGTGGGGCAGCAGACGGAGGGTCTTTCTCTCTCTCTCCTTCTCTCTGTAAATCTGCCTTTCCAATAAAAATATATAAATCTTTAACAAAATAGTAATAATATCTAGTATTTAGGGCTAATATGGGAATAGTGTGAGTCAATAAATGTTACACACTTTGAACAATACCAATCATGTTGTTGCTGTATAAATGGTCGCTCTTACTATCTTTCATTCAATGTCCTGGCTTCCTCTATAAGGACTGGATCATGCTTGGAGCAGTAGGAGCCTATGATTGGAATGGAACAGTCGTCATGCAGAAAGCTAATCAAATGATAATCCCTCAAAATACGACCTTCAATGTCAAGTCTACTGAAAAGAACGAACCTCTTGCTTCTTATTTGGGTAAGATCTGGATGTAATTGAAAGGAGGCTGTTTTTAATTTTTTAAATCTTTAGTATTATTTACTTGTGTTCTTATGTACAATAAATGAATATATATTTAAAGAATAGTTAACTTAATGGTAAATACACTTAATAGAACATTACACATTAATAAAACTAAAACCTGTTGTTCCTTTTTTAACAAGGATTTGGAGTGGTTGTGACGCTGGCTGTGCGGGTAGAGATGGTTTACCCCCATGGAACAAAAATCATTTATAACAGTTATGTACTTTATAAAAGCACCGAGCGGCCTTAGTATAGCATGAAGTGAAGGTCATTCTTTCATGGTGGGGCTACCTATTTTAAGCAATGAGATTGAAATATGTGCTTTCTGAAGTCTCCCTGTGTCTGATATTCATTTTAACTAAAGGATCTATGAACCTGGGGGTGGGGGAGAGAAAATCAGAGTAGAAATACAAGCCTTCAGGCTAATCCTAAGGGTTAGACTCCCAAGTTAATACTCTTAAGTATCTTCTATCACCAGCTCTTTTATGGGTGGTGAATTTTGTCATATGGCTTCTTTATTATCTCTATTCACAATTAGGTAAGTTGTTGGGCTTTGATCCAACAATATAATATCATCTGGTTTCCTACAGCCTTGCCAGAAATAAGGAGGGGTGTTTCTGGTACTACAGTTCTCTGCCAGGTTGGGATGTGCCTAGGGGATGGCAACAGGCTCTCCTATTACTAGAGATGATCTCAATAAGAAGGTTCAAAGGCCTAGAATGGAAACTCACAGTGTGGTTTCCTGCCTCTTAATTACTCAACAAATATTATTTAGTTCCTCTTTTTGCCCCACACATTGTTCCTAGAGCTGTGTAAGCAGTAGTTAAGAAAAAAAAAAAAAAGCAGACATTTTGCAGTATGTTTGAAGTATTTGGCTTGCTAGCATCATAGCTGGGATCTTGCTTGCCTGGAAGCTTCTCTCTATCTCTAAAGTTACTGTTTGGCAAAGCACATGTATCATACCCTCACACAATTCCTTACTCCAGGACTTCTGTCAGAGCTGAAAAAGCAGCAGGATTTAAGAAAAGCAAGTCGTAAGGCTTTGGATGACTAAAGGAGATCGATTCCTGTGTTGATGGAGCTTACTTTATCAGATGAGAGGCAATAACGAAGCAGTTGCTGTCAGCTTGATGTATACTCTGATATAAGCATGCCCACGAACAGAGCAAGAGGTTAGATTAGCTTGCCTTCTAAGAGTTCTTCATACTTCACAGTCCTATGACACCATTTCCTGGGAGATACCTTGGATTAAGAACCAGTTTAGGACCCAGTGTGGTGGTCTAGCACCTAAAGTCCTTGCCTTGCATGCACCGGGATCCATAAGGGCAACGGTTCTAATCCCAGCAACCCTGCTTCTGATTTAGCTCCCTGCTTGTGGCCTGGGAAAGCAGTCAAGGACGGCACAAAATGTTGGGACCCTGTATCCACATGGGAGACCTGGAGGATGATCCGGGTTCCTGGCTCCTGGCTTTGGATCAGTACAGCTCTGGCCATTGCAGTCACATGGGGAGTGAATCAATGGATGGAAAATCTTCTCTGTCTCTCCTCCTCTCTGTATTTTTTTATAAAAATAAAAATAAATATATTTTTGCAATAAAATAAATCTTTAGAAAAAAAAGAACCAGTTTAACCTGAGGGTTCTTTGTATCCTACAAATAGTTATAGGGTATTTATGCTCATAGAGGGGATCATTCAAAAACTCATGAAAATTCTTCATTTTATTTGCATTTAAATTAGTATAGCTCCTCATGAAAGGCTTCTGAAAATGTGTTTACAGAGCCGTGAAAATGTTCAAAATATATTTATCCATCTGTTTTATTTCCTGAAGAAAAAAAATCACATCGATGGGAATTCCAAAACAAATTGCCTTGAGGATATGGCATCATCCTAAATAGCAGAAACATAGACAGTCAGATCCGGCATTCGGCACAGTGCTTAAGTTACTGTTTGGAACGTCGCATCCGCATCAGACTCCCTGGGTTCAAGTCCTAGCGTCATTAGCTCAACCCAGCTGTTGCAAATATTTGGACAGCAAACTAGCGGATGAAAGATCTCTTTCTCTGTCTCTTCCTTTCAGATAAGTAAATGAATATATTTTGAAAGCAAGGATAGTTAAGTTAATGGTAAATATACTCAATAGAACATTATACATCAATAAAAATAAAAACCTGCTGATCCCTTTTTTACCAAGGACAAAAAAAGGTTAAATTTGGAGCAACTGTGGCCCTGGCTGTGCATATGGAGACAGCTCTGAGATGATACAGATCGGGTTTGCTGGTTGCTTTTCTGAATGTGTCCTTGGTTGTGGCTTACACCCGCCCCGCTTCCCATACCCTCAATTTGCTTATTTCAAAAAGATAACTACATTCCATATGTAATTGTGAACTTTGAAAAGAAAAAATAAGAAGAAAAGAGGGTAGGAGGGAGGGAAGGAGAGAGAGAGAGGATGGGGTTTCAAAAGATTTGTGTAATGACTTGTACATACTAACACTCCCATCTCCTCTTTGTATTTCTCAATGAAGTGTTCTGAAAGAAAGCAGCTTTCGTTGTATACTTCCTTCTTCTTCACTTTATGCATGGATAAACATGACGCCCCCAGTCTCTTTCTTCTTAAGGCAATAATATGATTAGTACTACAAAAATAGAATATATTACTTATTTGAGAAAGGGTATTTTTCATTCTGTTATATATAAAAATCTTAAAAGAAGATGAAGAAATTAGAGCATGAGAATGTAAAATATACTTTCCCTAATGAACTGATTTTTTTGGCCCTTGTAAGAGTTAGCATGCCTTTCCACAGAAGCTTTTGTTTCTTTTTAAAATACTGGAAAAAATAAAACCATTATCCTATAGTAACATAATCAGTAAATGAATGGCCAATTTGATGTTTTGCTCAACATTAAATACTATACTATGGTATTTCAACAAAATATCACTTGCCTTCCGCTCCAAGCATGAACAGGTGTGGGTATTAGGACACCTTTTCCTTCTGCAGAGCTAAAATCTTCATGCGATGCTATATGTTCATTAATGTTGGTCTATCCTTAAGAACACAAAGAATGTATCTCATTCTTCACTCAAAAACAATAATATGTCTTACAGACACAATAAAACCTCTTCTTGTAAATGGTTTGAAGTGATATTAGAAAAGCGTGACTCATCAGTTAAGCCAGAAAAACCCACAAAATCATGAAGATTGAGAGCTTCAAATCATATTCACTTTAAGAACATCCAAGAAAATGTCAGGTGTAGCGTGTAGGCAGAAAGCCACCAGGTATCTCACAGGTAGCATCACAACAGCATCATGTGTCATGCTGTTTGAGTGACGGAATTGGCAGGTATGCCCTGGGCTAAATGGTGGGCACTAAAACAGAAGGTTGTTCTTCTCTAAAGAGTGTTGGAATTTTGCTGAGCATGCCCAAAATTGCAGAAACTAGTGTCAAATGCACAGAAACATGTGCACAGTCAGTCATCATGGAGAACACCCAGGTGAGCCCAATGTCCCTTGTGCACAGGCACACAGCTCTTCGTTCCACTGACCTGTACATCGGCTCTGCCTGCCACATGAGCGCATCCCCAGGAAAATGGCACAGAATGCTCCTAACCTGGAGGAGATCCTACAGAAGAAAAAGATGACCAAAGAAACTGGAGAAACAAAATCTTAACTCCAGGAATAAATCCACCCTAAAATCTATGCCAAAGAAGAGCAAACGCAAGGCTAGGGAAGAAAGGGATAGATACAATTTCAAAATTTAAAGAGCATAAACTCCCAGTTATAAAACAAGGGTGAAACATATGGCAACTGTTTAGGGTCCCACAACTAACCAGATACATGCAAACGAATATCACAGCAAGATACAGTGATCAGACAACATTCAATTCCTACTAAAGCAACCATGAAGTTAAATAATCGTAATGATACACCATACCTGGGAGAGGTTGATGAAGCTCTTCCTCCCTCATATGGCTGGTTGTACAATAAATTAGCACAAATGATCTGGAAACTATTTGCTGGACACTGTAAGAACCATTAAAATTTTGATCTAATAACAAATTCCTTGAAATTTAGTCAAATAATTCAGAAGGAAAAACATTTCAATGCACAAAATAGCTTTGCAGGTTTAATTATAATACCAAAATACATTTTCATGCCTAAATTCTAGTATTTCCTTGGAGAATGGTCTTGTGGTATAAATGCAATGCTTTTATGCTTTATCTCAGAGAAATCATCTTTAAATATTTAAAATTACAGTTTTAAGACCTAGTGAGTAACAGAAAAAGCTCACATTTTATATGAGCCCAACTTCGCACAATTATTCATTTCTATAGCACAGACACACACACAGTGGAAAGAAATTTCCATGATTTATTGCATAGGGATCAACTGGGGTTGTGAGAGTTTTTGTGCACCTTCATTTTATTGCATTATTGTTATGTTATTTGTGTCTTTGAACAATAAGAAAATGAAGTTAGAGAAAATACCTTCTCAGAACAAAGCAGTCATGGTGAGTAATCAGAGTGAACAATAAAAACTTCTACACAGGGGCCCAGCACGGTAACCTAGTAGCTGAACTCCTCACCTTGCACAGGTCGCAATCCCCTATGGGCGCCGGTTCTAATCCCGGCAGCCTCGCTTTCCATCCAGCTCCCTGCTTGTGGTCTGGGAAGGCGGTCAAGGACGACCCAAAGCCTTGGGACCCTGCACCGACGAGGGAGACTGGGAAGAGGCTCCAGGCTCCTGGTTTTGGATTGGCTTAGTTCCGGTCATTATGGCCACTTGGGGAGTGACTCAATAGACGGGAGATCTTTCTGTCTCTCCTCCTCTCTGTCTATTTGTCTTTCCAAAAGAAGTAAATAAATAAATAAATGAAGCGTCTACCCAAGCAAATTCTTTCGTGTGTTAAAAATAAAAGCCATTTTCACAAAAAGATCATGTTAAAAAATAGATACCTCCCCCAATCATTTTAAATGATTCTTAGTTTTTTTACATGGAGAGTGTCGGTAAATTGGGCATCTCTGTTGCTAGGTTACACGGTGAACTCCGCCACTGTCCCCGGAGACGTGCTGTACATCGCCGGACAGCCCCGGTACAATCACACGGGCCAGGTGGTCATCTACAGGATGGAAGGTGATGGCATCAAGGTTCTCCAGACACTCAGTGGAGAACAGGTACACTTGGAAAATGTAGTTTTAAACTCATTCTTCCATTCTCTAAATACATTTACTGTCTGTCGTTGCAAACTGTTTCAGAAAGCATTGTCCCTGTATTCAGTTTGTTAAGAAAGTTCCCAGTTAGGTTCTCTGGACGTACGTACAGCAACTGCATCTTGGACATCAAAACCTTTTCGGTTAAGTGAGGTTGAGTCTACACGGACAGGTAAGGATATGGATGTTTAAGATAAGAGACACAAGGGTGGAGGAGGAAAGCCTGAGGCATTAAAAAGCATAGGAATGGGAGTGGCACAGACACCACATTCAGAGGGTGAAAAGATCATTTTAAGTTAGAATTGATTGGCGCAGGCAGTCTTCATAAGAGATGGAATGGGCTGAGTGAAGAAGGAAAGAATGTTAAGAGAGGAAAAGTGAGAAATGCCATTGACACTGGTTGCGTGACTTCTTGAATAGCAAACTCCAGAATCGGAACTTCATTCTACAGACAATAGAAAATAGTAACTAGCACCACTGGAAGATTTCTATTAGATGATATTAAACATGAAAAGTGGTTCCATAATGAAGTATGCAAACATCCAATATGCAAACCTGTGTGTGTGCATGTGTGTGCACTTAGCACATGTGTATATGTGTGTTAACTATGCTTGTTTGGTCATTTTTCATCTGTGGAAACTTGGAAAAATTTGGTCCCCTTTTCATAATTTTGTGCATTTTCTAAGGGTTGTTTACTGAGCTGGTTAACTTTGCACTGTACTTCTCCCAGGGGGTGCTTCTCAAACTTGGTTAACTATTCCAACCCACTGGCTCCCCTGCCTCTGGAAGGTACTCAGAGCTAAGAAGTCCTTGGAGTTCATGAAGAGTTCCATACAACCTAAATGCCAGATCTCAATCAGATCATGTCTGCTACCGATAATGTTGCTTAGCGATACAGCTGCACTCCTGTCCTCACCAGTTTCCCCAAGGGACAGATGGAGTTCGCCACAGGTCAGATTCCTGTAGATTGGGTGAAAGGCCTTCATCAAGTCTTGGTTCACGTTTACACTCAGAAAAGTTGTCAACAACCAAACCACGGCTAATGTTGCAGATCAAGGATGAGGTTAGAACCCTGTAATGACATAGCCACAATAAAAATCAGAAAGAAAGTCACATGACAGACATGAGGGGGATTTGGCAACAGTAATATGAAGCATTTTTAGATGACATTTTGGGGACATCATCACTCTAGTAATTGCAAAAAAAGAACGTGTAAAATTTTGTAAGCAATTGCTCATGAAAGCTGAGGAGGATATCATGAATTAGTTCAATCGTTAATTATTTTGGCTACAAACTCGGGGCTCTGAGAGAAAAATGCTTCTTTGATTACAGAATCAACAGTTCAAGTAGTCAGGAAGTTTTTTTTTTAATAGTATTTAGTTTAGACACTTTTGCTAAAATAGGAAGCACAAGTTCAAATATTTACTGGTGCCAAGTAGGTAAAGTAAAGCTGCCTGGCATACAGCCCTGGAAAGTGAGCAGAACCGTGGCCCCGGGCAGCGTAGGTACTCAAGATTGCCATTGCCAAGTCAGTGAGAAGGCCAGGGGTAGCCAGATGTTACGCTTTATTTATGTTTGTAGATAATCAGCTTAAAAAAAATCTTTAAAGCTCAGAAGTCTGTGGGGAAAGTACATTCACAAGTCATCAAGAGTCACTTCCATCTCGCCCTATCTAGATGTCTAGCAGGGTCTATTGAAGTGGAACCAGAGACCGAGAAAGGAATGGAATCTGCAATGTGCAGTAGTAATAAGATGTAGGAAGGACCGGTCATCTAGGGTAAAAGAATGGGAAGAAAATGACATGAGAGAGGACCCAGGGGACAGGAAGAGGGAAGAAAGCCAGCAAAAATGCAGAACAAAGAACAGTCTGTGAAGAAAGGGCACAACGAGGAGAGTAGAGTTAAAACACAGAAGCCAGTTCCAGAAGTTTCCATATTCGAATCATTCTGAGCATCCAGTATTAAACACAGATCAATAATTGGAAATCTTATTCATTCTCCTAGGTAATGAAGTGTACCTTTCAGGCCTTTCCCTGATACAGACCCCTCTGTTTGGGGCAAGACTTAGTCATTTTGTTGAATAGACAATATTATAAGACATTAATATAAAATATGCCCCCCCCAATATTGCAACGCAGTTTGGCTCCTTGTAATGTGCTTTTGTTTCAGGCTCCTCCTACTAGTGTGCTTAAACATATATGAAATAATTCTAGGTTGCCTCTACTCATTTTCCTCTCAAAATGTTACTCAAGTGTTACAGAACTGATCTGTCGGAAAGAAGGAACAGTTAGGGGCAAACCTAAATGGAATCATTTTTGAGACTGTAGAGTGACAGATTTTGTTGTAGCAGCTGCTCAGTCGTCAAGAATGAACTGATGGTATCCTAGCGTGACATCAGTTTCTATGTTTTCTTTTCTGTACCGACTCTCCCTACCCGGAATTGGTGGCCCTAGCAGTAGTGTAGCTTGTACCTTCCTTGAGAATGTCTCATGTCCACTGGGCTTTGTTTCGTCTTGTGCCCCAGATTGGTTCCTACTTTGGCAGTGTTCTAACAACAATTGACATCGACAAAGATTCCTACACTGACCTGCTTCTGGTCGGCGCTCCCACATACATGGGGACAGAGAAGGAAGAACAAGGAAAAGTGTATGTGTATGCTGTCAACCAGGTAATGCTGTCGGAGCTGGGCAAAAGCCTAGGACCATCTCTCCCTTTTCTTCAGTTTTGAATAAGCAGTTGGTAACTTTTCTCTCAGTTTGAAATAACAAATAAAACTTCCAGGTCCTGTCTAACCCACATGTACACCATAAATGCAAGCAATAGTAGAACAGCAATCCGGCCGCTATGGAAAGGTGAGCATTCAACGCAGGAATCTGGCAGAGGAGCTCAAATAGCAGGCTTCCCAGGGTCTGCACTGGCAAAAAGCTGGATTCACAAGATTCAACCAGAACCAGCCAGCAACCCATCCATTCATCTAAACCGTTACATAGCCACTTACTGAGCGTTTTTTGAACAGAATAAACTTGCTCCATGTTCTTGGTGAAATGGAGATGGGGATGTAGTTATAGATGCAGAAATTCATCATGTATTCCTCCTAATATTGGAGGAACTGAAAAATTAGAAATTTAGTCATTTGGCTTTGAAAAGATACAATGAAAGCCTCTGTCTACATTGCAATGAAAGAAGAGGCTCAGATTCTCAAGATGTCTTCTTTCTGTTATTTCTGCAAGATTTTCTTCAGAATCCCCAACCCTACTGTGAGGCACACATTTTAAGATGTTTTGCAGATTTTCCCATTCATGTACAAGGTTGGTTTCTTTCTGATGGTGTTGATTCTGTACATGCTTTTAAAAACTTACTCTGTTATAGTAATGACGGAAATCTGTAATATGCCGCTTCTCTTTCTTCCAGACAAGGTTTGAATATCAAATGAGCCTGGAGCCTATCAAGCAGACTTGCTGTTCATCTCTGAAGCACAAGTCATGCACAAAAGCAAACAAACATGAGCCATGCGGGGCTCGTTTTGGAACCGCTATTGCTGCCGTAAGAGACCTCAACCTCGACGGGTATAACGACATCCTGATCGGAGCTCCGCTGGAAGATGACCACGGGGGCGCCGTGTACATCTATCACGGCAGCGGGCAGACCATCAGGAAAGAGTACGCACAAGTAAGACCTTCAGCTTGCCCATCCTTGGCTCCCGTGATAAGGGAGTTCAATGCCAGGCATTTCCTGACTCACTGCATGAATTATTGATGGCCTTTCTTCCCACTCGATTGCATCACTGAGCTTAATTCTCTTGTACGTGTTCTTTATGAGAAATTATCTCTTAAGAAAATACTGTTATCAACTTTCTTTGCTGTTTTTATTTGGTATGTCTCCAAGATCTAAAACTTTTGAAATGTGAAGAGAAATGAATCTAATAAGGCTATGAAAACACTGCGGCCACAGCAAGGAGGGTGTACTCATTTCTGCATAGACAGAACAGTAATTATATGTTCTAGCCAATAAAGGAGTTGAGATTACTGCTTTGCTATTCAGTGTCTGTGTGTTTATAGTAAAATTGCATGAAATGTATTTTTATGAATTAAAGGGGTATATTTGCATCAAATGAATTTGTGTTTCTGAAAAGTTTTATAATCTCCTCCCATGTAATCCATCCTGGAAAACTTTGAATAATTAATCATAGCCTGTAGGGGACTCCTGTCATGCCTTTTTTATAATTACTGCCAGTTCACGGTTCTAATCCACAATTACACTTTTTCCTAGATAAGGAAAATATCAATTTACAGGCAATGTTCAATGTACTGTAAAGACAGGAGTTTGTATATGTGTTTGTTTTTGAGCGATCATAGTTGGCTAGGCATTGAGTAATGGCTCACGATGTAATTTACTGCTTTCCTGCTTATCTAATGGGAAAGGAAAGCAAAACATCACTTATTTCTCTTTTACATTTATAAGGTCTCTTTTGTTCAGTAGCCAAAGAAGTTCTCAAAAGCCAGACGTGAGTCTGCCAAAGTTGTGCTAAGTTTTCTATAGTCCTTACGACTTAATAGGAAGCCAAATAGAAGAGTGATTTCAATCACAACACTTCTACCCATTTGATAAGTGGCTTGTTTCTGTTCAAAATCTTCGCGCCATTACTTAACTAGAAACAAGCAGAATGAACCACAGAGCCATGGTGGAATCAAGAAATGCAGAAAGAGACCCTTCCTTGTGCACTGCCACTTAACTCCTTCAATATTAATCCTGAAATTTTAATGGAGTGGCATTTGAAGTTAAAAAAAAAAAGCCTTTTAGTCATTAATAAACGGAATACTGGGTTGTTACAAGCAATTTGTTTTTCAAAGTGGCGGTAAATCTAGATGGAGCTTTAAACAACAAAAGAGAATGTTGGAGTTGAATTTAATTACACACAAGATGCTTTCCCAAGGGTCGATGAGGATATGCTCACGTGTTTCCATGGGAACACAGGTGTTCCTTGTGTATAGGATGAGCCAGACTCAAACTCAGTCATCCAGCAGAACAGTGAGGCAAGATATCTCCCGATCCGTTCACTGAAGAAGCAAGGAAGTATTTTTCAATGAGACATATACATTTAAACATGAAAAAAAAAAGGTTTTCATTTTGATTTGCTTTACACAGCTTCTTATTTTTGTTCCTCAAGTTAAAAAAAAAAAAGGAGGATGAAAAGGCCACTGGCTTAGGCAGGATCTGTCAATTTTGATTACTTGTCACTGATCTGTATTAAAATAGTCTAGGCTTCAGCCAGGACTAAATCAGGATGTGCAGATATCAAATATATTACATGTGGTCACTGACACGGATCAGAATTCCAGAACTCCATTTCCATACTCTCTTCCCTGCACACACCTGTGAGCCTGAGTCTCGATCCGCAGGAAACCTTTTGGCAGATAATTAAAGAAGATAACATGTTGGAAACTGTGCGTGATGGAATGTGTTTCTTATGCTTAGCTTCAACATTCTGTAATGTCCAAACTGACCGCCAGGACATCCTCCCACTCCCTCATGTATTTGTGATTTTTTCAAGATTTCCTGTGTCTTTAAATATCTCTGTGTGATGGAATTCAACAGGAAGTAGAAAGCAGAGTCAATTCTCACGTTTCTGGAAAGGGTTAGATGAAATGACATGTAACCCCCCCTCCCATGCCTGGGGTCAGTCACCCTGAAATCGTTCCATCTGTACTGTGAGAACAACCCTAAGCGTAAGGAGCAGCTCGGCTCTGTACAAGAGGGTGTGTTCCGCAGGTTCCCAGATCACAGATTCTTTGTTAACCGACGCAAATTCTCAAGTTGATTTGAAACTGTTTTGAGCAAGGTCTTCTAATGCACAACTCTCCATTGGTATCTTCACAGCGTATTGCATCAGGTGGAGATGGCGAGACGCTCAAGTTTTTTGGGCAGTCTATCCACGGAGAAATGGATCTGAATGGCGATGGGTTGACTGATGTGACTATCGGCGGCCTTGGTGGTGCTGCCCTCTTCTGGTATGTATTTTAATAACATCCCGGTAATGGGATAATAGAGGAGGCTTTCTCAACTCCAGAGCTTAGGGCTACAATGGGTGTGCATGGCATAGCACATCAATCATCTCGGTAAACTAGATAAAGTCAGTAAATCTCAAGAAAAACAGGAAGCCAAAGTTAAGGAGCCAAGAGAACAAGCTGCTAATTTAAGTTGTAACTGTGCTTGACGCTGAAATAGGAACTGTGTTCGGGAAGGCGTAGAGGAGGTAAAGATATTGTAGAAGATGTGTGTAAACAAGAAAACATCTCTAACCGTGTCAAGAGGTTTAAGGAATAAGTGACTCTTCACGCGTAGACCAAATGCGTGGCGATAGACACTTGTGCCGCTGGGCAGGTAGAGGCGTTTTCAGCAGCCCTTGCCCAGCCTTCCAAGTGCCTGCAGATCGCCTGAGCTCTTTCCATTCATCTCACAAGTCAAGACAATGGACAAATATATGTTTAAGAATTACTTATTTATCACAAAGTAACATTCACCAATAACATTAATAACAAGGGCTTTACCCAGTTAAAAGTCTTTTGAAAAAAGGTTCTATTTGAAAAAAAAAATGATATAAAAAGCCAGAATAAGCTTGGTTTTCCGAATAATTTTGAAAAATGCTATAAACTTTATTAAGAACCATGTTATGGCTCAACACAGTGACTTGGTGGCTAAATCCTCACTTTATAAGCGCCAGGATAATATAAGGATACCAGTTCATGTTTCGGCTGATCTACTCCGCACCCAGCTCTCTGTTTGTAGCCTCAGGAAGTGGTGGAGGATAACCCACAGCCTCACCTACACCTGCATGGGAGACCTGGAGGAGGCTGCTGGCTCCTGGCTTAGGATCAGCTCAGCTCTGGCTGTTGTGGCCATCTGGGCAGTGAACCAGGGAATGGCGGGTCTTTCTCTCTGATTCTCCTTCTCTCCGTGAATCTGATCTGCCTTTCCAATAAAAATAAGTAAATATTTGAAAAAGAACTATGTGGGAAGAAAAAGGTTTCAAAAGCAAAGCCTGAGTAAGCACGTGCCTTTATATGAAGTACACATTTCCATTCTTCAGAATGACTGCTTTGATTTAGTGTAATCCAGATTTTAAAAAACAAAGCCTCAATGGTCTTTTTTTTTTTCAAACATTTATTTACAAGAGCTGAAAACATGAATAATGGAGTCATGAAATCGCTGAATTTGGTATGATTTAAGGTGACACGCAAGAACTGAAGGTCACATAAAATATTTTCTCAGTTTTACACATATCATAGCCATTATGTTAGAAACTGCATTCAGTTGTACAACAGAGGGGAAAGAAAACAGAAGGCTGGCTGCTTCGAAGAGGAGGGCACTGGACAGCTGAGTATCCTTGACATTGACAAGGGCTCACCCTAAACCCAGACTCCAGCCAGCAGTCACCAACATCAGGAACCAAGGGTGCACTTCGTTTTTGCTTGCACTGTTAAACTTGAAGCAGTTTCATAGAGGCAACTTTGCGTACCCCAATTTTGTTTCAAAGGTTTTCTTACAAAGCTTTGAAAACATAATTGTGCCCTTTCTAATCCCCTAAACAAGTCAAAAAATAATAACCAGGTCCATGTCACAGCCCAAGCTCAAAAATAATCCAGGGTACTGTGATTAAAGACTAATCACAGGGCTGGGACAGGGTGAGTGGTCACAATGACAGAGTGTCCAGTCGTAGATAGCAAAGTCCTGTCACATGGACTAGACAGAGCCCTCGCCCCTAGCCAGGCTCAGGAAGAACGTCTGGGGCGGGAACTCAACACAGCGCCTCATGACTGGGGAATCTTTACTTTAGCAGAAAACTAGGCAGCACTGCCCAAGGACAGGCTTTTAAATGCATCAGAACATATTCACTCTCCAGATGTCTGCGATGGCTGGCCGCTCTGGACTAGGCTGCAACCAGGAGCTTGGAACCCGACCCAGGCCTCCCACAGGTGTACCAAAGATCCAAGCCCTTGGCCCACCTGCTGCTGCTTTCCCAGGCACATCAGTAGGGAGCAGGAACTGACGCAGAGTATCCAGGGCTCAGACTGGCTTGCTGATAACAGATGCTGATACGGGATGCTCATATGGGTATGATAGCCAGTAGCTTAACTCACTGCACCACAAAGCTAGCCACTAACTTGAGATTTAAATGAAATCATGTGCATGTGTAGCACAATATCTTGAACATTATTCTGCATCTGATTCCCTAGAAATAGAGACAAAGCAAGTCCTTCAAGAACAGGGCCTGGCGCGATAGCATAGTGGTTAAAGTCCTCACCTTGCACACTCCGGGATCCCATATGGGAGCCGGTTGTAATCCCGGCAGCTCCACTTCCCATCCAGCTCCCTGCCTGTGGCCTGGGAAGGCAGTTGAGGACGGCCCAAAGCCTTGGGACCCTGCACCCGCATGGGAGACCCAGAGGAGCTCCTGGCTCCTGGCTTCAGATCAGCGCGGCACCGGCCATTGCGGCCACTTGGGGAGTAAACCATCAGACGGAAGATCTTCCTTAGAAGCATTCATAGTCCAGGTAAAAGCCTCAGCTTGTGCGGGACCTCTGGACTACTTCTAAACAGAGAAATCCTAGTTATTTTCAAAATATTGTTTTGGTTGTAAGCTTAGGCCTGGGTGCCTGATTCCATCTCTTTCCCAACACAGACAAAAACTAAATCTTCAACGTCTGAACCAAGAGCCCACAAGAATTCCAAAACCAACCAACGACCCCCGTCCCCCGCACCCAGGGGTGCTCAGAGCAGCAGTGGCAGTCTGTGCTGTACCGGGGGATTCCTACAGGCAGTGTCGGATTCCCTTGGATGCACTCCCGTTGCACGCCCACACAGAAAGCTGACAGTAACCCCCATCGTTTGCTCGTTGGCAGGTCCCGAGATGTGGCTGTAGTTAAAGTGACCATGAATTTTGAACCCAATAAAGTGAACATTCAAAAGAAAAACTGTCGCGTAGAGGGAAAAGAGACGGTCTGCATAAACGCCACGGTGTGTTTCGGCGTGAAGCTGAAGTCTAAAGAAGACACGGTTTACGAAGCCGGTAAGTGTCATGACTCTGGCGTTTGGGCGGAGGAGTCTTGCCGCAGCATGCTGAGATCCAGTAGCATCTGTTCCCTTGATCGTAGGAACTGCACATCACATGGACGCTAAGAACAGGTTGAGTCTTTGGGAGAAAAAGAAAAAATTCCGCTGCGGAAGGAATACATTTATTTCTTTCTATACTGCTAACTTGAGGAGTTGGACTCTGTGAAAAGTCAGCCCACCTAAGCACTTGTGTAAATTATTTTTTTAAATTGTTATAGATATGCAGTACCGTGTCACCCTGGATTCACTAAGACAGATATCACGAAGTTTTTTCTCTGGAACTCAAGAAAGAAAGGTCCAAAGAAACATCACAGTCCGAGAATCCAAGTGCACGAAGCACTCCTTCTACATGTTGGCAAGTAAATCATTTCTAGAGCTGCCTCTCTCCAGGCTCGGGCAGAGCGCAGGTGCCTTTCCCGGTCAGGCAAATGCTCACAGTTTACCTCTGTGTACACTTGGTAAACTTTGTTCATTTGCTTCTTATCAAAAATCACAAGTCTCGTCTCCCCTGTGTGTCTTATCAAATATCCATATAATAAGGAATGGGGGGAGGGAAGCCACGGTGCCACAAATTTAAAAATACAGATAGATAAATTTATTCTGTCAACACTAAAGTCAACCTGTGCTCTGAAAAACTAAAGCTGGAGTTGTCTTTGTTGTTTAGCTCAGCAAGACTGACCACTCGGGAAGCTAGACTTTGGGTGAAAATTTGAGTAAGCATGAACCCAGATATGACACTTCTGTATGCACAAATTCAGCATCTATATTACATCCAGGTGTCAGTGTGGGCGGGAACAGACTCGTTTTCAAGTTTCCAAAAGCATTCTTTTGGGTTTGAAGAGACATTTAGCATTTGCTCTGGAGTCAGCCAGAGTGCAGTCGGTATCACAACTTCCATGCATACTAAGCGATTTTGGTGAAATTGTCTAGTCCCACAAAGGCTCCGCTTTTCACCTATGAAATGGTCATTTCCCCGAGAATACTTTTGAAATAATCTACAGTAATCTATGATAAGTACCAATTTAGTCATATTCATATCATTCTCACATCATTTTACATTATAAAATTCTTATAAGTCTATAAGTATTATATTAATAAAAATAACTAGATTTAAATAAAGTTCACCCCTTTAAAAGCTGAGAGACTTTCCTAGCAGCCTAGCATACTGATTTTTGCCACAAAGTCCCAGTGGCTCTGGCTGTGTGTACTCATGTGCCCAGCCCCCTGCTGACTCCTCTGGGCAGCTGCAGCTGCTCACACTTGAAGTCTGCACATCCCACGTAGGGCCCTTGTCGAGACATAATGACTGTCCCTCTGCAGCAGAGCTAAAAGCAGGTGAAGTCAGGGGTCACATTAGGTAGCCGAGGATGTTATATAAGCCTGCCCCGGGGGCAGAGGCCAAAGAAGGAAGCTCATACAAGACTGAGACATCAGCAAACACAACACCAGTGGCTTATTTCTTGTTTCAACTTGCAGGACAAACATGACTTCCAGGACTCGGTGAGAATAACCCTGGATTTTAATCTCACTGATCCAGAAAATGGGCCCGTTCTCGATGATGCTCTACCGAACTCAGTACACGAACATGTAAGTCAACTTTTGACACATCATGCTTTCTCATGGATGTGGTAAGAAAAATTCTGGAATTACATGGAGCCCTGAATCAATTATATTTCTAAAAGTAGATGCTTCTAGGTCTCTTCCATGCCTACTAATTTACTATTGTTGGAGTTCAAGAGAACTAAAAAAAAAAAAAAATGATACCTCAACTTAAGTTAGAACAAATGGCAAGAAATGTCCCTCATAGTGCTGCTAAACATGGGGCCTTGGAGTAAGCTCTAAGTCTCAGAAGTGTCTGCACATTGACCGGTAGACAGCTCATGTGTTAGCACTGTACTGATGCATGCTGGCCTTCTCCATCAGGGAGACCTCCCCAGAAAACTCACCTCTCGGGGAGTGCCTCTCCCGGGCACACTACTGCCCCCATGAACAGAACAGACAGGAAGGGACAGAGCTGTGTTTACCCAGGTCCTGTTTCCAAATTTAGAGTCTACTGCCCTTTTTTCCAAGAGTGAATGGAGGGTCAGAGAAGGGGAAGGAATCCCGCGACATCAGTGGAAGAAACGTTAGGGGTAGGGAATCCATTTTCCCAGTGTGCCTATTTCCACTCTCCCTTACTCCCTACTGAACATAGTCATGGTCGTCTATGTACCAGGCACTGACCCTTCCATCTAAAGTAGGAAGCAGCTATTAAGTGGTAATGAAAGTTTATGCAGGAGAATTTCAGAATACGGCAGGGACAGCCCTGAAGCTGGGACACTTATGTTGGGACCTGAAGGATGAGTTCATTTCCTAGCCTATTTAGAGGAGCAGGTGGAGAGAAGAGGGGCGGGGTTAGTGTGTGTCAAGTTTCAAGGCAGTGAGAGCCAATGAGCAAGGGAAAAGGTGAAAGGTGAGAATTGAGGCCCAAGTGAAGGCAGGGGCCGGATTATTGAGGACTCAAAGCCACTGCACACATTTTAAACTTTTTAAAGAGTAGTGCTCTTACAGGTTTAAATTTGGGTCTGTGATGGGATTTCAGCAGCAACATGAAGAATGACTGGTGGTAAATAGGTATGTGTGGGGGAGACTGGTTGGAATGCCAAGTGTCTTCATTTCAGGGAGGATGAGAGCATGCTTGGTGGCGCTGCTGGTAAAGGAGACACAAGCTTCCGTAGGATTTAGGCACTGTGTAAAAGCCGGCAGGGTGGGATGGACAGTGTTTGGCAGTGGATTGCATGCAGGACAGGGGCTACAGAAAATCAAGGAATGTGTGTCTTGGCCATTTTCCATCCCCTTGGCTGAGATTTCTGAGTATTTGATTCTTTTTCAAAGAAAACCATCGCAACTGGAATTGAGTAGATCTAGATCTTAGAATGTTTGACATGTTCCTTTTCAAACTGTTCTCTGGCAGACAGAAGTCAGCGAACACTTGTGTGGACATGGTGTATCCTTAAAAGGACTAGAGGAACTGGTATCTACCAGTAAAATGTGGCTGTCTTCCCCTAACCCTACAGGAATAAAACATGAAAGTCTTTAAGATTTCTGCAATGCAATTGGTTACCTACAGAAGTGAATAGACTTATCCAGGCACTGTCATTTCTGGTAGGTAATGTTCAATACCCTCCAGTGAATTTTGAATGAAAGACTTTCCTGTGACCATTTCAGATTCCTTTTGCTAAAGACTGTGGAAACAAGGAAAAGTGCATCACAGACCTCACCCTGGATGTGTCCACCACAGAGAAAGGCCTGCTCGTTGTCAGATCCCACAATGACAAGCTGAACGTGAGCCTCACAGTCAGAAACAAAAGGGACAGTGCCTATAACACCAGAACCATAGTGAATTACTCTCCAAACCTCATTTTTTCGGGAATTGAGGTAAACTGACAACTTTCTTTTTTCACTCTTTTTTTTTTAAAGAGCTTTTGTTTTCTTTCTTTGAAGATATGTGTCTCTTTTTAGATTCATTGTGAGGGGGGAAAAAAGGATGTATTAAAACTATTTACCTCATAGAGTCCTTAACCCACTGAAACTGAGTCAAGGGGAAAACATGTGGCAATCAAAGCCAGGACCGAAGATGCAGAGGGAGACTTCCGCAGCTAAAAGAAATAAATTCACACGCAGAAAAGAGAACACACCATTTCCCCTTCCCGTACAAAATCCTTACTTTGGCGAGAGATTTGTGTTGGATTATTCTAGTTTATTAACTCATGATTTTTAAAATTGTTTTGTCCAGACATGCCATATCACCGATCATTAGTGTTTCCCAAATTGAATTCTGCTTTTTAAATTCTAACTTCCACATGAATCTTCTTGGGTTTCAATTCTGGATTTATTATCTGACTGATGATCGGTGTCATTGCCAGCAGCAAGCAGTACACTAGAACAGGCACTGGTACGGGTGGTTAAGATGCCTGAGTCACACGTTCAAGGCCAAGCTCTGACCCCTGGCTTCAGCTGCCTGATAACGCACGCTGCGGAGAAGTGGCGATGGCTCCAATGATCGGGTCTGTGCTCTGCCGCGGGAACTGGCCCTGCATTCTGTGCTGCTCTGAGTCACTAAGGAGATGATGGGAGGAAGGCAGCAGATCGGAGCGCGCTCACTCACTCTCCTTCTTTTTCTCTCTCATAATACCTAAAAAAAAAAAGGAATAAAAGAGTCGTTTAATGTATCACAACATTATAACTCTATTGTCTAGCTTCTGTTAATTCAGATGTTCATGAATATTTCTCTCTAGTTGTTAGATACCAGTTAGAGACACGATTAAGATATATCTTGTGTTACTATGCCATATTTTGGATTCAGCTATAAATATTAATCATACATATAAATGAGCAAATTAGTGTTGAACTATATTGTCACTGAAGTTGTCTCTGAAAAGGAACCTTTCCTGTCAACCATTGTGTCTCTTGAGCTGACTTCCCAGCTTGGCCAGTGACAGAGCCATCGGAGCAGTGGGGTCCGTATCACTAACAGCAACAGTGAGAGCCACCCTTTCATGAGACCCATTAGATGCTAGCTGTCTAGATTTCACTTCATTCCCATAAACTATTTTGTCAGTATGCATTACTATACCGCCAAGATGAGAAACTAAATGCTTTTGCACATTTTAACATTTCTGTAATTGCAGTATATAACTGATATTGTGTCTACTTAACTGGAAGCATGATTCTCTTTCCTTATGGGTTGATAAAATAGTGGTACATCTCATAGTCAGGGTCTTTTTATGTGCTTTATTTTTTTTTTTTTTCGAAAGTCATATTTGACAGAGAGAGATTCCTTCTGCTCGTTCAACTCCCCAAGGCTCCCGATAACCAGAGCTGAGCTGATTAGGAGCCAGAAGATCTTCTTTCCATGTCTCCCAAGTGGGCACAGGTTTCCAAGGACTTGAGCCATCCTCCACTGTTTCCCAGGCCATAAGCAGAGAGCTGAATCCGAAGTGGAGCAGCCAGGACATGAACCAGCACCCATATGGATGTGGGTGCTAGCAAGTTGAGCATTAGCCTGATACACCACTGGGGCAGGCTCAATGTTTAACTGATGTTCGATACAGTTAGAGGACTAACTCCACCTGACAGAAAATCAGTCCCAGAAATACCTTGCTAAGGATAAGCCACCAACGATGGAGTCTATCTTTTAACAAACCTAGTGGACACAGGTCAGAGCCCATCCTGTTAGCCAGCTGCTTAAATCTGCTGTGGAGTACTGTGTGCTGTGCACTTCTCTGCTCAGGTCCACTGCCTGTGAGCTATGTAGTTCAGCCACCACAATCACCCTGTGCAAGAAGTGCTATTAGAAATTTAATATCACTAATATTTAGCCAGGAGAGTGCACTGTGCTTTGTCCTCCAGGTGCCCTCAAATGATGTTTTCAGATTTCCCTAAGCTCTGGAACAGGTGGTCCAAGAATGCGGTGACTCCTGCAGCTAACCAGAGAAATACTGACATGGTAGCCACCGAGACACAGTTGGGAAATTCTAAAAAGAGCCAGTTTAAGTATCTCACCTCTTTGCCTGCCTTAATTCTATTTCCTTTCGTTTCCCAGGGCATCCAAAAAGACAGTTGTGAATCCAATCGTAACCTCACATGTAAAGTTGGTTACCCTTTTCTAAGAAAAGGAGAAATGGTGAGTAGCTTATACAAAACACATGGGGCCAGTGAACATGAAAAATAGCATGTGCAAAGCCACTTACATAATATAAATCCTTTTGATGGTAATTGAGAATGATGTAGATGAAGAAAGTTGAGTTCATGATTTTTACAGCTTAGAATTATTATGATCTGTATGTCTGTGCACCCTCAAAACTTAGATGCCAGAATTCAATCTTCAACCATTTGGCTATTCAGAGGCCAGGCCCTTATGAAGGCTGATGTTAAGAGGCAGGCCATTTGGAATTAGTGACCTTATAAAAGAAGCCCAAGAGAGTTCATTGTCACCACTTTTGCCATTTGAGGATGTATATCAGCCAAAACATATCAGGGACGATACCGCTCCAGGCTCTGAAACCACTGGTGTATTGATCTTGGAATTCCCGGTCTCCACAGCTGTGAACGATAGATTTCCATTGGCTACAAATGACCTCCTTTAAAGTTTTTTACATCAGCAAACAGCACAAATTAGGACAAAATCGAAAGTCAATTGCTGCATAAGCAAAAATCAAGCCATAGGACAAAATTTCTGCTAAATAAATGGCTGCACTACTTGACATACATCCAGCTATGGTTGAGTACCCCACATTACCCTGGATTATTTTTGAGCTTTCTCTGTATTGTTGCCTATCTCCTTTTTACTAGCTTAATATTTTGTTATTTCAAGATATCTTAGTCTTAATTTACACTCTAGTCAAAGGCTTAATGCTCCACAAAATAAAATAGTCCAATAAATAAAAAGCTTAAAAAGTCCATAGTTTAGCAGGAAAACAGGCAAGAACTATAAATATTAATCAAATGCAAAGATGTACAACTTTACTGGTATAAAGTAAGCTTTAAGATGGTTGTTAACTCATTAGAATTATACTAGTATATAATTCTTAGCAATTCATGTCTGTCTCCTTTATAATAGCCATCTTAGTGTGTGGGAAAGAGGGTCTCATTGTGGTTTTGATTTGCATTTCCTTAATGACTAATGGTGTGTGAGGCATCTCTTCATGCACCAATTGGTCAGATCTGTGTCTGATTTCCCCTATATCATTACAATAGCAAAGTCCTTCAAAAACAGTCCATCATCCCACTATTTAACTGTATCCTGACATTATAGTTATAAATGATGACAGAAAGTCCAGCATCCTATTGCCAAGATATGTTTAACTGTTTCATTGGGAGTTCATCTATGAACCGGGAGTACATACTACAATATATCATTACATCTTGATATGATAGTCTCTATTATGTAGTTCCTCTAGAGGAACATATGTATAGTCATGTTGATCTATTGATCTTGTTTTAAACTCAGTATGTTTTTTTTTCCTGTTTTATTTATTTATTTGAAAGGCAGACTAGAAGGAAAGAGAAATGGTTGCAATGACTGAGCCAGGTAGAAGCCAGAAGGCTGCAGTTTTACCTGAGTCTCCTATGTGGGTCACAGGGGACCAAATAATTGAGTCATTTTCTGCTGCCATCCATGGCGTTATCAGGGCGTTAGATCAGAAGTAGAGCAGCCAGGATTTGAACCAGCTCTCCCAGATTGGATGTTTGTGCAATAAGCAGCACTTTACAGCTGTGTAACACAACACTGTCCCTCTCCTGTATGTCTTCTTTACCTTATGGAAATAGCAAGATGTTTTTGAAACCTCATCCTTAAGTGTATTTCTTGAGCTTTCCAAATAATGTACTCAAAAATTGCATTTCTTCTCAATTAATCTATAAAAAAACACATTCATATTTACAAAGACCCACTCGTTATCCTTCCAATTTGACCTGGAAGTAAGAAAATCTCAATTTGATTTCACCCCTTCAACCTGGAGTCCTCTTTACTAAAGAATAATGCCATGCTGAGGTCTGCAAGAGCCATCATTGGAAACAGTCATCATCATCTTCATTTCTTAAAAATATTTTTTCCTTTCTTCAGCAATTCCTTGCTGCTTAAGGTAAAATCATAAATCAAAGTGTCTTTTCAGTTATCTGTAGAGAGATGGAAATAAAATTTGCAAGTGATTTTGACAGGAGCTTTTTGCCTGTAATAGTCTTTGATTTCAAGCCCTAAAGTTGTCATTAAAGCACTCCAGGTCAGTTTCAGTTCCCCTCTGCGCTTCTAACATCACAACCTAGATGAGTCCCTTTAGGTGTGCGGATACCTGTAAGCACCCAGCCAGCCTGGCAGGTGGCAGGCAGGAAGGAAGCAGCTCACTGGGTAGCTCAGGCAGGGGGATCGTGGTCTGTGTCCCTGCAAGACCACCCCATGGATTTCTACTGGGACTGCAGTGGGAGTTTATTTTTGATTTTGAGGTAGGGATGCATGTTGTCTTGTGTCTTCACATCAGGATATGGTACTAATGGAGCGATTTGTACTCTCTTTTTTGTTTGTCCATTTTTCCAAAATTTTTTTTTGCTATAAAACAAGATTCATTTTGAGACTGGAATGTAAGTTTATAAGCATTATTATGAGACTACTTGGATTAGAACGCTACGAGTAGCATATTTCTTTGAGTGATTTTATAAAGTGCCAAGGATTATGAAATATTTGTGCTCAGGCATAGTCTCTGGAAAGGCAATTACCTATAACAGATCATAATGAAATAAAAACATTTTCCAGGTTTTTTAAAAAAATATTCTCTTAACATGAAAATCTTTACAAACAAAACTCTTCATTTTTATTATAATTTACTTCATCATAAATAATTGATGCTTTTGATTTGTCTTCTTGTTATTATTCCTTGAAGGCCCAAAAGGCTTTATACAACATCAAATTAATAGAACCAAATGTATTTTCTTCTATTTTAAAGTGGCTATGTGTAGATAAATGTTGGTAGTTTAAATTTCCATATCAGAGATGCTCTTAACCTTTTCTTATTCATTTAGTTAATGATTTTGACCTGGTCAATTCTGATAATAATTAAGATGTGCCTTCATGATAGAAATTTGCAGTTTAGCATAAATTATTTTTTCTTAATGTAATTTGAATGAAGTGCTTAAATTCAATACTAAGAAATTTCTGTCTCATACTTCTGGAGACTCGAAATTCCGAGGTCAAGGTGAAGGCACCCTTCTTAACTCTGGGAAAGTGTCTTCTCCCTGCAACCTCAGTTGGGGGGCTCTTTTAACAGCACCAATACCATGTATTGTGGCATAATCATCTTCCAGAAAGCCCCACCGCCTGTCATCATTGCACCGGAAATTAGATTTCAACCTGTGAATTTTGAAGAACACAAGCCTTCAGCGCATAGCAACATGAAGCCTATTACATATCCATGCCTGAAAGTACAGCATAGCTTTGTCTGTTTTTGAGGTGTGAAAGGGTTTTATTTTCTAAGATATTTCTTAAATGACCTTGTAATTTAAGTAATATATTTATATAAATGGAATGTTTTAATCAAACTAAATGTGTGGGTTTTTTTTACCAGTTACTAAAGAAGTATTCTTATTTCATAGGTAACTTTTAAAATATTATTTCAGTTTAACACATCTCATCTCATGGAAAATGTGATCATTCATTTAAGTACAACAAGGTTGGTATAAATGTGTCTGTAAGTGTATGTCATCTCTCCTGTAAAGATGAGAACTGGAAACATCTTACAACAGAGCAGTTAGCAAAATGAAGGCATTTTAGTTGACAGAAATAATTCACCTAACTGGAATAAGCCAATAGTACTGTGACTTGTAGAACATGGTATAATTACCCATCACTTCAGTGGCTACATTGCATTTAAATTGATTTAAAATTTTACAGGCTCCGCAGACTTAAAACATTTTGCTGGCTACCCTTTAAATCAGTCAGTAGATGGACATAAAAGTTTTATAATAGCCTTTGATACTGTTCTGTGATCCTCTGAATGAAATTTATCCAAATTAGTCAGTGCTTCCGACAGGCATCATAGAACACATAGACTACAAACAGCACAAGGTGATAAGGAAACTAAAGTTTTTCTAAATGTAATTGTCCGCTGGACCATCTCCAGTGGGAACACGGTCTACTTTCTGCTGCTTTAGTGCTCAGTAACGATCTCAGTATGTGTCATATAACAGTACTTAGCAAAGGTAGAGTAAATGAATCCTTGAGAAAGATGAATTATGCCTGAATTAACTCTTTATGTTAAGTTCAACTGAGAAAATGCTTCTTCAACATCTACTATGAGTAAGATATTGAATTATTCACTCTAGGGGATAAACTACCTCCTGGGGTGAATATTACACAAGGGGATTGAAACTAGGATGAAGTTATTGTGACACAAGGAAGGAAGGATACTTATTTCCAGGATGATAAAGCTTATGTCATGCGCTTACCTGAGGGTGACAGCATATCTACCGTGCAATGAGAACCCAAGAAAACTTTATCTAGGACATTATATTCGAGAAAAATCTTAAGGGATAGGTAACATTTCAAAGAGAGGTTACTGAATAAAATTAGCTGGACTGTTGTGAGCAAAACTCAAAGACAGACCAGTTTGAGGAAAATCAGTTAACCAGTTTCAGCTGAAATATAGAGGCTACGTGAAATCATAAAGGGAAGTAAGGCAGAATTGAAGAGCCCATGATATTATTATGCAAAATATCAAGAGGTATTTTCCCCCTTAAGTGAACAGGCTATAAAGAGTCTAAAAATTCATGCATAGCGAAATCATTCGTAAGACGTTGCTTTTTGGGAAGAGGGATTTGGCTACAGTGTGGAATAGGTATGAGAGTGAAAAACCATTTGTACCAGGAACTCAGTCATACCCAGAGCCCATTGCAGCATGATGTCTGAGCTGTGTGTAGTTCACCACAAGCCACTTTACATACTTTGGAACAAGCACAAACATTCCAAAAATACATATGGCCCAGTCTGTGAGATGGTGTGCTAGATGCCAGGTCAGTCGGTGGAGGGTCTTATTAAAATCAAACACTTAATGAGTACCTCCTGTGTCCCAGACAAAATCCTAAGCAGTTTATTCTGCTTACATATTTAATCATCAAGAATAATCATTTAACGATGAAATTCCCCTGTATTATAGATGAACAAACCAAAGCACAAAAGGTTAAATAATTTAGGCACAGAACCATATCCAAAAACAATCCCATTCTCTGGCCCCATAGCTGCTAATCCTAAGGATATCACTTGCTCATGCATTTTAATGCTGATGAGATGTTTGTATCTGAGTACATATATGTGTGTTTACGTAAAATGTAATTTAAAAATATAACCCAAATCTATGAAATAAAGACTTGCTTAACAAACAATATCAGGTACTTGGCAAGAAAACATCATTAGAGGAGCAAACATAAGATTTTTGGATTCACTCTCCATTGTCTCCCTCCAAGTCCTTGTCTGAGATAAATACATAAGCATCACCGAGCATGATTGGTTTTTTTTTTTTAAGTTCCTGAGCCACAACTTGAAAGAATTAAGTCCACATTTCTAGGAGAGATAAGCAGGCTGTGTATCTTCACATTTAAACCCAGGGATTCTTTCCTTTATCATCACAGAATTATGAGAAATATTAGGGTTAGTGTTGTTTTGAATTCCAGCCGCACATAAACATCGACTTGGGAACTTTTTACAATATCCACCTCTGGTCTCTTCACTCATCCTAATTAAAAAATAATCAAGGATTCTACTCTCTTGTGCTTCATTTTGTTGACAACACAAGCTTCTCTTGGACATGCAGATGTCTAACTTGTCCACAATTAATGGCTTATCTGAAGGTACTGTGTTTCTTCTAGTGACAGTGAAGAACCTCCCGAAACCCTTTTGGATAATGAAGCTACCATTTCTATCCCTGTAAAATATGAAGTGGGACTGCAGTTTTACAGGTAAGAGGGAACCACACTTTATGCTGACACCTGCCTATTGTCCTAGGAGTCCTCAAAGTTTGGTTCCTGGGCAGAGCATCAGCATGACGAGGCAACTATGTAGGAAAGTTCTCTGTTCTCACTTGAGATCTATGGAAGCAGAAACTGTGGGTGGGCGCAAAACACCTGCGTAGGGCAAGAATTCTAAGTAATTCATGCACCCTGATGCATCAAAACAAGCCTTCCTTAGACCCAAAGCCTGAGGCCGCCATGATCCTACATTGCTTTAGCAGTCCAGGCTTCACTCCTAGATACCAAAGACAATATGTTCTTGACTGTCATCAGCGCTTCTTCTTTTTACCGTTAATTACATCCTGTGGGAATATAATCAGCATGTCTCATGGAAGAGAGCTGTTTATTTTTTCCACTATTCTCAAACTCTTGTTCTCATAAGAACATCTTATCTACCCAAACACCAAACATGTTAGCAAAATGTCCCTGTATAAATCGCCTTGCTTAAGCAATATTCCAAGTTTGGGCTAAGTTAATACGTGGAATGTATGCAAAGGTTAAGAATTTGTGGCAAACTGAGTCTAATCCAAAAAGTCTACTCATTTCATTAATTTATTTTCATTGAAACTTTACTGATAACATACCACACACACACAAAATTAGAGGTTTATACATGTGTATTTGCTTGTGTTTCAAAGACTTTGAGTTTTGTTGCCTGTTTTCTATTTTGTTGTATCTGCTTGTTTTGACACACTGACTTTTACTAAGAATTTTCCATCAACTTAAAATCAAATTTTGGCAAAGAACATTACTTACAAGTATTTTTATTTGTCTTCTGTTAGCTGAAGTATCACATAAAAATAGGTTATTCAGCTTATCAATTTTTTCCAAAGATCATGGAGAAGTTGTATGGAAAGTATTATATCTTTAGGGTGACCAGTAAGTATAGAACTTTAGATATGAAAAGGAAAATAATGTTTCAAACTTAAACTTCAGCCTAGTAAAATTACCAAACTTTAGCTTACTATTCAGTAGATGTAAATGGTATTAGTGAATTCATGGAAACCTTTGACTTACTAACAAAATTTTCTTTAAAAACAGTATCTATTTTAGTGTTTGGGATTCAAATAGGAATCAATGAATTAAATTATATAATCATCATCCTCCTAATAGATTTAACTCTAGGTGAAAGAATTTCCATCTATAAAGAGTTTGGGAGACTACAAGATACAGAAAAAGACAAAGATTGAGGCCCAATAAAAGTTAAACTCTTGTTGTGTTTTATCTTTCTTTATTCAATTAATTCTTTGAAGTTCTGCAAGTGAACACCATATTTCAATTGCGGCCAATGAGACAGTCCCTGAAGTTCTTAATTCCACTGAAGACATTGGAGATGAAATTAATGTCTTCTACTTGGTAAGAAACTACCTCTAAATTACTCTTCTAAAAATGTTATTTATAAATTTATAAAAGTATTAGCAGATACTTTAAAACTTATTTTCATATTTAATTCTTGTACTTCAGCTTACTTTCTTGATATTATCACAATTTAAAAATAATAATTATACCTTGAACCAATTTAAAATGTGTCTGTAATTCCCCATATTAAAATAGACTTCATTAGCATTAAGGTTCTCCAGAAAGAATTAATTAGAAATACAGATATAGATCTATGAGAGAGATTTTTATCAGGTAAATGAGTACATACAACTATGGAGGTTGGGAAGTAACATGACAGGCCACCTGCAAGCAGGAAACCATAGGATGCCAGTATCATGACTAAGTTAAAGCCCAGGGCATCAGAGCCAGGGAAATCATTACTGTAATTCTCATATGAAACCAAAGGCCTAAGAAAACATGCACCCACACTGGTGTAAATCTGAGGGACCAAGAGCCAGAGAGCCTGGAGTCCTTCTAAGATTTATTTATTTTAACTTATTTATTCAAAAGTCAAAATTAGAGCAAGAGATGGAGAGAAAGTTTCCTTCCATTAGTTCATTCCCCAAATGGCAACAGCACCTGGAGCAGGACCGAGCCAGACCAGAGTTGGACCAAGCCAAAGTCAGGGACTGGAAACTGTTTCCAAATCTCCCACATGGGTGCAGGGACCCATCTTCTCAGACCATCAGCAGGGAATGGGATCAGAAATGGAGCAGCTGGGACATGAGTCAGTAGCCATAAGGAGAGCTAACTTATCCGCTATGCTGCAACACCAGCCCCAAGCCCGACGTCTTAGTGTCCAAAGAAGGGGAGTGCATCCCAGCTCCAGGAAACAAACATTCCTCTTTCCTCTAGATTGTGCTGTCCGGGTGCCCTGCTGGTTAGATGGCGCTGGCCAACATCAGAACAGATATTTCCCACATAGTCCACGTAGATTCATGTGCAGATTTCTCCTGGAGCACACTCAGAGACAAACCCCAAAACAGCACTTGACCTGGTTTCTAGATATTACTTTATACCATAGAGTTGACAATTAAAATGAACCATCACAAAGGACTTCCCAGAAAAGAATAAACCATGAAACCAAACTGATACTGCCTATAAACTTGTAGATTACTTCACATTACATTTTCAGTATGAATAAATAGGAGTTTTAAAAAGATAACTATTTCAGAAACTCATTATTCCAAAATTGGTAACATTTGCCCTTACTCAACAAATACATATATACTTCATTCTGCTCATAGCCACCCTTCATGTGCAATCTATTATGCATTAATATTAATATTGTCACCTCTGTAAGTGATCATTTTCATTACAACTTATTTTTTCTTTTGAATCTTTCATACTGAACTTTTCCAGTCACTATAGCAAGCAATGATGAGTTTCTCTGGCTTCCAAAAATTCAGTGACCACCAGGAAGGGGAGGAGCAAGAAGAGGAGGAAGGGAGGGAGGGAAAATGGGAAAAGAGGAAGAGAAGAGTAGAGAGGAGAGGAGAAGCAAAAATAGACTTTCAATGCTATAACAGGTACATCCTACCTGTTACAGACAGTGTTGGTACAAATAGCATTGTTAAGTGTATCCCCGACCATACATAACTTTGGGTGCCTTTCTGATTATTTTCCGGGATAAATTCTACAAGTAGATTAATGAAACTTTTCAAAACAATTTTTTCAAGTCAGACCTCAGCAACTTTACTGCTAGGTATTTCGCCTAAAAATTATTGATGATGCAAACAAAAAAGTTCATGGATGGTCTTAACAAGGTTACTTATAAAAGTTTGAAAATTACAATCTTGGGCCCAGAATTGTGTCTTAACAGATAAAGTTACCACCTGCATTGTTGGCACCCCATGTGGGCACTGATTCATGTCTCAGCTGCTTCACTCTTAATCCACCTCTCTGATAATGGATTGGGAAAAGCAAGGGAATGTGGCCCAAAGTGTTTGGACCCTGGCCACCCATGTGGTGGGACCTGGATAAAGTCCCTGTCTCTCAGCTTCGTCCTGGCTCCAGCCTGGCCCGGCTCTGGCCATTTGGGGCATCTGAGATGTAAACTACAGAAGGAAATCTCTGTTTCTTGCTTGCTCTCTGTATCTTTTCCAAATACATAAATCTTTTTAAAAATTATTATCTTTGCATAATCTAAAAATTTAACATCAAGTAACAAATGTCCATAGTTTCGTTGGAGAGAATATTATCAATCCACTGGAGATAGAGTTATTGTACTATTAGAAGACAGATTTTCATAGCAGGAAATGCTAATTCTGGTATTGGCCATCTCTGTGACCATGAAAGCTTTCATTCTGGCTCTAAACTTGTTGCCTCATAGACAAAAACAGAGATAATAAAATTTCCCTCCAGTGATTGTTAGCAAGGCTAAAGGCAACTGTTCAATTGCTAAGAGTAGCATAATAAGTAATATAATCAAAAAGAAAAGATTGATGTTGGGGCTGTAATTATGTAGTTATCTTCTATAAGAACTTACAAGTTTATTGAAAGCACCCTAGCATATTAAATTTTACATGTTGGATTTTATATTTTATATGATACAAGTTTTATAAAATACACCTGTATACAAACAATAAGAACAAGTAATTTGTACTCTACAGTGTTACCCAGGCAACTGAATTGTAGGAAACTTTTATTTCCAGTTAATTTTTAAAAGTTTCCAGTATTTCTACAGGAAATGTTTTAATCAGAAAAAAATAAGTGGTGAATTTTAAACTCAATATCAGGAAACAGATGGGAGGCCATACCAAGCAGGCTCAGGACATATTATCATAAGAAGATAAGAGTTAATATTTGCAGCTGGTCAGAAATCTCCAGGATTCCAGGATTAAGGGATATATTTGATCGTTATCAGCCAGAGGGAGATGTTCCAGATCTGAATAGCTATCCATGTAGAAGACTCAGTAGATGAGTCAGTGGATTTCCTGGTATCTGACTACATAGATGAAATAGCTCCTCGTTAGGGCCAGCACGATGGCTCAATTGGCTCATCCTCTACCTTCAAGTGCCGGCATCCCATATGGCTACCAGTTTGTGTCCATGCTGCTCTGCTTACCATCCAGCTCCCTGCGTAAGGCCTGGGAAAGCAGTGGAAAATGACCCAAAACCTTAGGACCCAGCACCTGGTTAGGGGATCCAAAGGAAGCTCCTGGTCCCTGGCTTCAGATCAGTTCAGCTCCATTTGGAGAATGAACTAGCCGATGGAAGATCTTTATCTCTTTTTCTCTCTGAAAATCTGCCCTTTCTAATATAAATAAATAATTTAAAACAAAAGAAGAAGAGGAAAAGAGCTTACTTGGCAAATGAGTTTTCCTAGGGAGGCCACGGAAGGGCCAAAGGCCTGGAGGCAGAACTTGAGTGCTGGGAACGAAGTCTCACACCACGTACCCTAACTCATTTGCACCTGCTAATCAGGAGAGGACGTTTGGATCCCAAACTCAGCTTCCTGTTGACTTCGCCCTTCCTGGCTTCTTATAAGCTACACTCACCTCTGTAACAAGCATAATGTGAAGTTAGAATTCTGGAGTGGGGGGAAAAAACTGCCATTGTCCATACCTACAACGTCACATGTACTTAAACAGCAGAATAACTATGCCATTGTAATGATATAGGGGAAATCATTATGGGGGGAGAACTATGCCATTGTAATGATATAGGGGAAATCATTATGGGGGGAGAACTATGCCATTGTAATGATATAGGGGAAATCATTATGGGGGAGAACTATGCCATTGTAATAATATAGGGGAAATCATTATGGGGGGAGGCAGTTAGGGAGGGTGTAGGCAAAATTCCAGAGCCTATGGAACTGTATCCTAAAATGGCTTTTAAAAAATCAGTCTGACTCCCATCGAACCATATTATCAACAGCCAAAGCAATAATAGTATCAAATGGAGGCAGAACTCCGAGGGGCACTTATGGGAGTATGGCTTACGTATACCATGGTGGCAAGTAACATGCAAATACAGTTGGAGGTGATAAACCTTTCCATGTAACCAGGTAAAATAGTCTCCCTTCTTCCTAGCACCAACAAGACCAGTATGCTAAATTGGAAGATGAGCATGATGAAAACACCATAATACAGAAAAGTTTTCAGTTATGCTTTTGTTAGTAATCCCATTCCTATTTCAGGAATGGTGAAAGAACTATACGATTTTGATATGATATATGATATAACCACTAACCATTATCCATCCATATTTTCTTACTGACTTAATCATGCCAGTTCTCTGAATTATACCTTAAGTTGTGTGCATTCATTTGGGGATTAAAAATATTAGGCAAGTTTATCCATCAGTTAAGAATCTAAGCCTGTGCAACACAGAAATTTCTGAAAGACACCAAGATGACATTTCCATTTTTTCTGCCCTAGATTAGAAAAGGTGGATATTTTCCAATGCCAGAGCTTAAGCTGTCAATTTCATTCCCCAACTTGACATCAGATGGTCATATTGTGCTGTATCCGACAGGATGGTCGTCTTCAGATGTAAGTCACATGTAAGCTTAGGAATCATGTCCTTTCATTAGCTTTCTCACTTCTTGTGTAAGCCTTTTATTATGCATCACACCTGTGGTATTTTTATCAAGGTAACATGATATTTTAGAAAAGTTGTATTTGGGGGATGCAACAGTCCTTGGTGATGCAATAACTGAAGTACCACAGTGGGTTTCCTGGTATCAGGTTACAGAGATGAAACAGCTCCTCCTTGGAGGCCAGAAGGCCACGTCAGGTGTCAGCAGTGTGGGTTCCTTCTGAGGGATCTTAGGGACATTCCAGTGCATGCCCCTTCCTGGCCATCTTTGGGGTCCTTCTCTCTTGTGGCATCGTAGGCCCAAGCTCCCACTCTGTCTGTGCCCAGTCTCCTCTTGGTTTGTGCTTCTGGTGCTGTCCTTTCATGTCTCTGTATTTCTGCATGTCCGATCATTGGATCAATCTCATCGAGGATCTGTGATGTAATTAACACCTGCAAAGAACCCTGTTTTCCAATAAGATCACATTCACAGGTTCTGGGAATTACGACTTGGGAATTCTGGGGACACTGTTTAATCGCTAGAGCAGAGCTAAGTATTGGTTTGTGCCTGCAATGTTTATTGCACCTTCATTTTTTTTAGGTGGTCAAATAACTCTAGAAAGAGCCTTTTACATTTACCCTGGAATGCACACTGCACATAAAATAGTCCAATATTCTTTCTTTACTTATCTCCAGCAACAGCCACATCGTGCTCCCATTTCACTTGTAGCTTGGAGCGAGACTATGTCATAGTGAGTTATTGTGGCTTAATGTCTAAAACATAGGAAAAATGACAGTAAATAGTTCATGCATGCTGGCTCTTAACATTTGACAACTTGTCTTATTTTCACAATTAAAAAAAAAACGAAGGCTTTTAAATGTTCTGCTAAAGGCAAGAGAAAAACAAACCTGTATAATTTATCTCTAGTGCAAAAAGGCAGCTTTCTGAGAAACTAGAAAGAGAAAAATATTATACTTTTAATACTACATATGAATCTCTCTATAGCACCTTTCTATCAAGAGGAAGAAAATTTCTAAGATTTAAGCCTAGAAAAACAATCCAAGAATGAGCTGTCTACCTGGGCTATCTGCCTGTGCGATCCTCTCACAGAGTTACTCTTCATGTGATGGACTTCAAAATCAGTATTTGATTGATGCATAACTTAAAAGTTTCTCTTTCCAATGCTATTTCATCATCTTATATTCCAAGAGCGGTGCTAACCCTCTTCCTGTCTCTCTGTGTTATGGGAATTTACAAGCTGATCTTGGATGAAAATAAGAAGTTGCAGAGTTCATTGTGTAATAGGAAGTGTTGCCAGCATCCTTTCCTCTCCATAGCAAGCTCACTATATTCATTAGAATTTGCAAATGGCATGGGAACTGTATTCTGTGCGGTGAATGGGTCTCTTCCGTCCTGTCCATGGAGTAGGATGGATGTTCATTGCCTGGCAGCATCTCTCACATTCATACACTGGGGCATTTTCCTCTGAAATGTTGACATTATCTAATAAAAAAAAATATTTTCTTCCTAGAATGTTAGGTGCAGACCCCATAGCCTGCAGGATCCTCTTGGTATCAACTCTGGAAAAACAATTAACTTGAAATCTGACGATCTCAAACAAAGGACAATTCGGGTAAATTGAAGCAACTGCTATGTTTATCATTGCTTTCCAAATGAATATGCTCAGTATCAACCTAGACATTAACTGTTTCAAGTATTTTAATGTAGTCCTCTTGATGCAATGTCACGAACGCTGATAGACACCTCTGGACATTTCAACAGGACTGTGCCGCGTGTAAATTTGCCACCATCACCTGTAATATCATTCCTTCAGATGTGAGCCAGGTGAATGTGTCACTTCTCTTATGGAGACCAACGTTCATAAAAGTAAGCAGCAACATCTTCTCTGTGTAATTACTGAGTCAGAACCACGACATCATGTTTGTCACTTATGAGGCGTGTGCAAAGCGCAGTGGTACCGTGAAAAGGACGTGATACGGGCGTCAGAGAGTGCCAGCCAAAGCACGGCTCTCCTTAGCCAGCCGCGTGGATGGGTCTTGTCTTCCTGGCAATGACCGTTCCAGCTTAAGGCCTTCTTCCCGACGCATGCCTTCAGTCCGTCAGCCCTTTTCTTTACACTGTAAGAGATAGATACCAGAAATACCAAAACTTATACTTATTATTTTGTACCTGAGCTAAGGTATGAAGAATTACAGCATGACAATCCATGAACCACTAACAAAGAGAAACCCAGCATGTGTATGGACTCATGGGGTTTTGTTCTCTACAAGTTCTCTAGAAGTGCATTCTGGAGGGCATCTTGCAACCTGATAAAGCTCATCTGACAATAAGTTTTACTTTGTATTATTTCTGTCACCACATATTTAACTGATCAAAGGGAATTGCCATTTCTTTTTGGTTTGATCAGGCTAAGCTACTGTGTTCACAAGTAATAGACCATTGAATTTTGGAAATACTGTATTTATTCTTCAGTAACTGCTCCTGTGAATCCCATTATCAGGTGTTAGCGACTTCATACCTGTGTTAGCGGCAGACAGAGTTTGAGGTTTGCTCTTTCTGAGGATAAAGCCGAGCAGAAATTCCCGAGACAAAGTTCCCATGCTGCAACGAGGCTTTAAATGAGAATTGGGGGTGGGGGAACGGCAGAGAGAGAGTGAGGATGGTACCGCTTGGTGATGCCGTTCCAATCGGAAGTTACCAAAACCAACATTCTGTTGTCACTGAGCTTTAATAGCTGTAACTCTCCAAACGTGTCTGGCTCTCATTTCCATCAGCCATAATATATTGCAAATGAATCCCATTTATTTTCCAGGCATATTTTTCCAGCTTAAATCTCACCATAAGGGGAGAACTTCAGAGTGAAAACACATCACTGGTTTTAAGTAGCGGCAATCAAAAAAGAGAGGTGAGTGGATCTCCCAGTTTTGAAAGCATTTCACTGGGAGTTTGGTGACATAATGTTTTATAATTGGCTCCAGTCCTTTCAGCAGCTGCTGGAGCTGCACCCCAGAAGTGACAGGTACCATTTGCTTCAAATTATGCTTCACTAGCTACAAGTGTGATTTCAGTCTTGTCTTCCTCAGGAAAAAAAAGCTGGAAAAACCATAGTGTTTACAATTAGTATGCCATGTTTGACTTTTATCACTTCTAACAATCACAGTAAATGGATGTTTTTACTCTCACCTTGATAGTAAATGATGCATTTCTCACTTTCCCCCTGAAAGACTGACATTACAAACTACAGCTGACATCTGAAAAGCCAACCACGAAAACAATTTCTTCACACAATATCACTTAGAAGGTGTAGGCATACGTGTAAATTCTTTATTTTTTCGTTGGTTTAGTTATTAGGAAAATTTTTAAAGGATTACTTATTTATTATGGGAAAGTCAGATATTCAGAGAGAAGGAGAGACAGAGAGGAAGATCTTCCATCCATTGATTCATTCTGCAAGCAGCTGCAGTGGCCAGAGCTGCACCTTTCTGAAGCCAGGAGCCCAGAAACTCCTCTGGGTCTCCCACACGGGTGCAGGGTTCCAAGGCTTTGGCCCTTCCTTGACTGTTTTCCCAGGCCACAAGCAGGAAACTGGATGGGAAGTAGGGTAGCTGGGGTTAGAACCAGAGCTCATATGGGATCCCAGCATACTCAAGGCAAGCCTTAGCTGCTAGGCTACCGCACTGGGCCCAGTTATTAGGAAACAAAAGTGAGATAATATTATTCCCCAAACAATTAAGACTTGGTCCTTGCTGGAAATAAAACACTGTTTATTAATAACTCTTGTCCTTTTGTAAAATGAGAATCAAGTACTTGTTACACAGAGACTTTAGCATAATTCTCCCTCTCGTCATGGGAGAGTTTAAATATTGCATGTGTGGCCCGAGCACGGGGACCAGCGTTTAAGAAGCAGGTTAGGGCATCTGCATCCCATGTCCAAAAGCCTGACCTCGGGTCCCGGTTCTGCCCAAGTCCAGCTTCCTACAAACATGTGTCACTGGACGCAGCAGGTGAGGCCCCCTGCACTGAGATGGGAGACGCAGGCTGGGCTCCAGGCCCCTGGCTTCGACCTGACCCAGCCACCCTATCAGCAGTGAAAACCTGGGGTGATTTCATAGGTTCAGGTTTATGTCCACTATGTGAAAATACATGTATGTATTTCAAAAAGTTTGGTGGGGGGGAAATATGGAATTAAAAGAGACATCTATTTTGGTGCCAAAAAAAAAAATAGATTTCAATGCAGAATTTTCATGATAGATATTTTATGAACTCTTTTTGAAGACCCTTCAATGACATGGATTTTCAAAAAAACCTCCTACATGAAAGAAACTTACTTTTCATTTTGTTCGCTATGGACCTTTGAAGTTACCGCCTGCCTGCCCTCTGACCTTTCCCTGCTCAGCCGCACCCTCCCTCCAGGCTGAGACATGGAGATGCTGGCTGTTAAAGACGAAAACTAAATGTGGAGCTTTTGCTATCTAGTCTGAAGGAGCCTTCTTTTTAAAAAAAAAAAAAATATGTAAAGGCTAGGCCACAGAGCAGGCCGCGTGGAGGCTTGAGCACCGCACACAGAGGTTGAAAGCTGCCCACTTCAGAGCTGTGCTTGAAACCCAGTTAGGAGACACCAAGAGAGAAATCAAATGGGGAAAAAAACACAGCACATTTTAAAAAGTGCACAGCAGTGAATATACACACAGATATGCATTTATGCATACACTTGAGCTTTATGCTTTTGCTTGTATGAAAATACTTTCAGTTTACAAAACAACAAAGTCCATTTAAATAAAGACACCTATTCAGGTGTTTCTACGGCGACCTATATGATGTAGCACCCTAAACTGGTGATCTTGTGGCAGTGTAGTAAAGTCCATTAAATCGTCATTAAACATGGAATGCTTTGGCTCTGTCAGAGTTAAACAGATCCACTCCTGGTCTTGAGCATTCAAGTTGACTGACATTTTAACTCACTTTTGAAATTTATTTGTTTACTTACTCTATGATATAATTCCATAGGCTCTAGGCTGTCCCCTTCCCCAAAACCCCTTCTCCCCCACCGGTTTCCTCTGTATTATCACAATAGTACAGTCCTTCAAAATAGTCATAAGTCCATCATTCTGCTACTCAGACACTTAACTCTTGATGCAGCACTTTCTGAAGGGTGAAGCTATAACCACTTTATTGGTAATGATACATTCGACATGATTAGAGATTTAGAAGAGATGCTGGGCATTTTCAGTTGTAAACTCAATGTTTTCTCTCTATGTAGTAGTCAGATTAAGCACACTGTCACAAAAGTACGGCCTGCAAGAGCGGCGTGCGCCGAGGGGTCTGGCGGGTGTCCATCAATGCTCATGATCCTGTTTAATCATTTTCAGCTTGCTATTCAGATCTCCAAGGACGGCTTACCAGGCAGAGTGCCCCTGTGGGTTATCCTCCTGAGTGCTTTTGCTGGATTGCTGCTGCTAATGCTGCTCATATTAGCACTGTGGAAGGTAAGCACCGACTTCCTGTTTCAGTCGGGACGAGCCAGTTGGTACAATTCATCAAGATTTACCCAAGTGGCGGCACGTGCCGTTATGCAGCCATGAAGCACGTGTGCATGATGGCTGTGATAAAACGAAACGCATTTTTATTTCCCGTGCTGTGCAGTTTGATCCCAATTTTGCAAAGGGAGAAAAAAAAGTAATCTGTGTTGGGATAAATATACCTAAAAATCATGGAGGGCCCCTAGATGGACCGTCAGACAGCACATTCATATTTTGAAATTTCAAAATAACTACATGCTATTTTACGAGAAAAGTAGAAACTTTGTTAAAAGAGACTGACTCAGGGGATGGGTAAGCCATCCCCTTCAATGCTGGCATCCCATATGGGCAGCAGTTCCAGTTCTGGCTATGCCACTTGCAATGCAGCTCCATGTTAATGTGCCTGGGAAAGCAAACAAACAAACAAAAAAAAGTGCCAAGTACTTGGACCCCAAAACACCCACGTGAGAAACCTGGGGAGAGCTTCTAGCTCTCGGCTTTGGCCTTTCCCAGCCCTAGCTGTTCTAGCCACTTAGGGAGTGAACCAGCCGGCGAAAGACCTGTCCGCTTCTCTCTCTGTCTCACTATTGCTCTGCCTTTCAAATAAATAAAATCAGTCTCTAAAAAGAGCTCTTCTACCTGCTGGTTTACTCCCCAAAAGGCTGCAACAGATGGGGGCTAAGGCAGTCCAAATGTGGGAGCCTGGAGAAAGAAGACATTTTGTGCAATAAAGGATTTACTACATAACTGATGCAAGGGAAATCTTCCAGTTTCAGATCCTATTTCAGGCACGTTTATAAAACTCCACCACCTCCTGCTTCCCATTAAATCTAGTCATTTACAGAGGCATTTTGTTTCTGTTAAGATACACAAACAAATTATACCTTTTAGAATGCATTTAACAAAGAACAAAATCTCATTTAAAAGTATAATTTAATCTTTGCCAGTTAAAGTCAAATTGGCATTTATTTTCAAATATTTCTGCATATCTTATGTAAAGCTAAATTAACCCAAGTGTGTCAGAAACACATACGGCGCCTGCATATTTATTTATTTCATACAGGAGCAAGCCAGTGATTTAGTAAATGATTTAAATACCAAGTTTCTCTCCTTCTGAATTACCAACTCTTCCTATTTTGTATCCTGATGACAAGTAACTTCCTCTTCGTGTTCGAGAAGAAGATGAGATATGTGCTTAGGTTGTAACCCAGTGGCACTTAGTTCAGTAGCAGGAATCTGTGACATTTCTCCAGCAAAGCCCCGCAACAAGAATCCTGCACCTCATCGAACATCCAGGTGATTTCTTCCGATTTACAGCGGCAGCGCCGCAGTACCTGTCTTTGCCACACCGTGGCACTGCAGGCCTGACTTAACAAAGTCAAGGTGGCACTTAAACTGTGAGAGGCGGTTTTCTTACATGCCATGTGGAAGTAGAGCGAGTTACTGACATCTCCTCCAGTATGGCTCTTGATTCTCTTATATTGTCCCTAGAGTTTTAGACGAAAACCAGCCCTGAGAGTTGCATGGGATTTTTTTTTCTGGCCTCAGTTCTGTTGAAAATAACTATTTATTCTGTTGAAAATAACTATTTCACTCAAGTGGGTGAAAATTTAGTCACTAGCTTAAAAAAAGAAAAAGCATAAATGCAAAAATAAACATTTTTGCATCCAGTTAATGCTGTGTTGACACATTATCCTGGTGCTTCTTCCACCTCCGTGGGCACTAAAGAAGGTCATTTCACAGACTTTGGGCTGTCCGGACTAGGTTTAGTTACTCGGCCGCTTCCGCGGGGGCTCAGAACCCCAGCCCCGTGGCGGGAGGGAAGGGACTCGGTTCTCACCAAGTCATTACTACACACCAGGAACTGTTTCCACCGTTTCTGTGTTGAGCATTCCCATTTATTCTTACCAGCTCTGCGAGGTAGACGCTGACATGAACCTCATTTCACAAACGTAAGAAACAGACGCACCAAAATTAAGCACAGTTACCAAGGCCCACAGTTAGTTTGTTTTTGGACTCCTGTCACTCTGTTGTCCTCACAGCAACCCCTTTCACCACTTTTTTTTTTTTTTAACTACATCTTATACGTGAAGACATTGAAACAGGGAGGTTAGGTAAGTCTGCATGACTGCTTGCTGGAGAGTGACTGGGTCCCAGCAGTGGGCCTTCCACAGGCTTTGGGAAAGGCTGTCTCCTCTAGAGCTGGAAGAACTGGGTTTTGTTCCAGAGGGTCAGGAACTCTCCAAAACACACAGCACTAAGCTCTGCCGTGAGGGTCCCTGCTTGGATTTGGATGCTCAGGAGACCATTACGGCCCCTCCGTGCTGTAGTCACGTTGAGAGCTCCCCCGAGCGCGCTTCGGTCTGCAGGAAGCACAGCTGAGCTTCTCTCAACAGCAGGCCACTTGTCACAAAACAAAACACGATCTGGAGCAAACACACGTCAGGGCTACAACCCCTTCTTCCTCTTTCCAAGTCCCTCCAGGCCGGGAGCTCACTGGGACGCTCTGGAGTAGGACCCTATGTCAGAAACAGAGAAAAGATGCCCTTTAGGTCAAAAGACTAAGTGCTCGCGTCTTTGTCTTCATTGCATATGAGATCGAAATTAGAGCTGAACAAAAATCCTAACAGTTACTCAGAATAGTCCATGCTTGATAGGAAGAGATGTCTAGAGGACACAGATTTAAATCATTGCTAAATGTAAGACAGGGCCCCCGTGCTGAGGAGACACCCATTCTGGGCCGTGTAACTGGTAGAGTCGAGTAGCAGTACATGAATGAACACTGAGTAAGTGGAACATGCCTCTCTTAACTTGATGGCGTCAAACAGGCGTTGCTCCTCGTGCAATATACACATGCCTGTGGAGACGGGGATGGTAGAGGATGCTAAACTCCTCACCATTAGTATGAGTCTGCTCTCAATATTTATTCTAAATCATATTCATTAATAGCTTACATTCATCCAGAGATAGTTCAGTCAAAACCTTTGACAAAAGGTTTTATGTTTTTAGAAATATTTTTTAAATTATTCATATTATTTAGTTGACAGACGGAAGAGTGGAAAGCGACAGAGGGAGAGAAAGAGAGCAAGAGAAAGTCTCCAGTTGCTGAGTTCACTCCCCAAATGCCTGCAGCGGCCAGGGTTGGGCCAGGCCAAAGCCATTCAGTTACTCGGTCTCTCTTTCCCATGTGGGTGACAGGAACCCAGCCGGCTGAGCAATGCCCCGCTGCCTCCAAGGGTGCTCGAGAACAGAATGCTGGGTCACATCTCAGCCTTTGGCCAAGGTCAAGTGTAGAACAGGATGCTGGGTCACTTCTCAGCCTTTTGGCCAAGGTCAAGTGTAGAACAGGATGCTAGAAGCAAGAGTGGAACTGAGACTTAAACTCATGCACTTGGCTACAGGAACAGCACATTTATCGCTAAAGGAATACAAAACAAACGGATCATTAAACAAATACGGGAAGGAAGCATGGGACGGGAATGACACAAAGAAAGTGTAGCAACTGAAAACAACAACAACAACTTCATTTCAAATTTTGGCTAAGATTGGCCCAGTTCATTCTCCAACAATAAACTATAGTGTCTGGATCTCCATTCTAATACTGCCACTGCCACTGCAGTTTTGCTAGCAAAATCGCCCCAGTGGAAGTTTACATAAAAGAAAGTTTAAAATATAATGTTGGATGTGTAGACGCAAAGGAAATTTGAATAGAAGCAACAAGAATGTAACAAAGATGACTAAAAGCTAGGCAGAATAGGAAAAAGAACCTTAAAATATACCACCTTCATCCACGGCCAATTCACCCTGAACACACCCGATCTCATCTGATCTTGGAAAATATACCACCTGCTTTGATAAAGCCTTGTCTGATCTGTTCTTACTGAAGATGTGCAGGCTCACTTTAAAGGACTGAATGGTTTGTGTGTCCAAAACTATTTGAGTGACCCAAAAAAGGGGGATCTGAGACAAGTAAAACTGACAAATTTATGATTCTTTTCAGGTTCACCTCTGTTGAAAGTGCAGTATCTATATAATTTAAATAAAGAAGTTATGATAAATTATGCAAAGTAACCATATGGTTTAAATTCAGTCATTGCCTTTACCAGTTTCACTATAGCCCACTCTCAAAACACAGAGACAAATGCAAATTTTTGAAAACTGTATCTCAATGATCTATAATTTTCTTTTTGTAAAAAGAAAGCATTTTAGATTAGATCAATGCAAAGGACCCTTCCCTCCTCTACCTAATTTTTTGTTCTTCATAGTAGAAAAAAATGTAACACTATAAACTTGAATAGGTCCCAAATGACAAAGCATAATGAAATATTCACATTCATCACCATGTGAAATTTTAGTCCATTCCCTGTCTTCATGTCAAAATGATAGAGTGTTTTCAAAATGCAGGGACCGCCACCATGGTGTAACTGGTTAAACCACTGCCTGTTGTGCCATGTGGGCACCTGTTGAAGCACTGGCGGTTCCACTGCCAATCCAGCTCTCTACTAATGTGCCCAAGCACTTAGGTCCTTGCGTCATCTTAGGAGAGCTGGAGGAAGCGCGTAGCTCCTGGTTGCTCCCTCCCCACGCCCTGGCTGTTACGGCCATTTGGATGAGTGAACCAGAGGGTAGAAGCTTCTTTTTCTCTCCTTCCCTTCTTCCCTCCTTCTCTCTCTCTCTCTCTGCCTTTCAAAGAAGTCAGTCTTTTTTTTTTTTTTCCTTAAAGTTCTTCATATCAGACCTTCCTAGGCACATAGTCTGACACATCTGAAGCTGCTAAGGAAACTCCCAAGTCTCGCTAGCATCCCGTTCTGATAACCCGACGTTATTTTTTTTTTAATTTTTATTAATGTAAAGAGGATGGCTCTTACGCATCCCATAGGTAGAGTTCTAAGGAGATAACCCATTTCTCTCACTCCTGCAAGAAATAACTTCATATCAGTGAGGGAAAAAGAGAAAACTTTATGTCATCATGGCAAAGAAGAGATGGTAGCCAGCTGACTGAAGTTTGCATGTATGTCCCACAGAATGTTTTCCTAGGCCTTCTAAGTTCCTGTGTGTCCTAATTGTTGGCTGGAGGGCATGAAACGTTTGACCAATGGAAAAGTGAAAAATGGAATACGAGTTTGAGAAATGTGATTTCTTTTTATATCCAATATTAATAGGCTCATGAAAAAAAGACAGTTATCCACCATCTTAATTAGGTGTATGCCTAAAATTTTCAATACATTATGAAATTTTACCCAAAGATGGAAGCATTTATTACCTAAACTAAGTAATTGTGTTATGTTTGTATTTTTTTAACAGATTGGCTTCTTCAAAAGGCCGCTAAAGAAGAAAATGGAGAAATAAAATATTACACAAAAGAAAAATAGCAATTAATCAATGAAGTATCCTCAGGTTTGCCTCAAATATGTGACAAGAAATTTGAAATGAGGTCACATAATTCTGTGTACTCCATCAGGGATTTATCATTTGGAAAAAATGACAGATCAAGCTGATCCGAGAAAGTATCACAAAGATATTTTTTGTAAATTTATGAAAAATATTTTAAATATTCATTTTTATTGAGTATTTAAGAGCCTTACAAAGTGTTTTAAAGAATAACCTATACATCTAAAATATTTAAGGATAAGAATTTATATGATAATTGAAACATTTAATTTCAAAATAATATAAATTAAGCATTTCCCTCGATTCCTGATGGATGTGCAGGTTCAGCCTCAGTTAGCAGTTGTAAATACTAAGCAAGGAATTATCTGAAAAAGTTACTTTTTCCAGTTCAAGTGGGAAAAACTCCCCCTTATAGAGTCCGTCTATAGATCGGACTGAAACGGAGTACAATCACAGTGACTTCAATCATCATCTTTGTGTTGGACTCTGTACTTGGAGAGGTGTATTTTTCCACTATGATGGAAAAGTAATGCAGTTGAACAGAACTTCCATCCAGGACAAAATCAAAATAGATACCTAGTTTAAAAATAAGTGTACTGAATGGGTTAATTTAAGTTTTTATAGAAAATGCTTAATTTTGATATTGAAGTCTAAATGCAGAACTCTTTTATACTGAAAAATAGCGTTTTTGTGTGCTGCAACAGTAATGTTTCATGAAAAGCCAAATTGTGTGAAGGATATGCTAAAATGATTGCTGAACGGAACGTGGCAGCGTAGGCTGTCGCCACTGAAATCCTCTTTGCTGAGCAGATGTTGAATGGGAGGGGTTCCCGGATGTAGCCTAAAATAGGAGTCTCTTGAACTCCTTGGTACAGGGTTCATTCAAAGCCTGAAGCTGTGAGAGTATGCTTATTTTTTTGTTTTCATCTTTCAGAATTCCATTTCAGTATTGTATTTTACCAAGCAGTTACAGCTTGCTTTTGAGTGTGATGGAACAAAATTGAAACAGAAGCCCAGAAATGGAAACAGTGTCAGGTTGGAAAGATCCCACCCCAGAAAGGCCTAACATCTCTGTATGTGCTTCTTTGTTCTTGAAGTGATCGTTGAAGTCGATTCGGTTCCGCTTGTTTCATAAGCTCCCAGGTCACTGTGTTTCTTAGGACAGTAACAGTGAATGAATGTAGAATGGCTGTACCTGTGAACCACTGCTGTAAACTTTGCTGATATTTCTGGTACCACTCCGTTTCTTCCCTTGTCAAAACATGTAATTGTTCAGAAAATCCCAATCTGCTTTCTCAAATTTTAATTTGCTTTCTCAAAGCAGCAAATTAACAGTGAGATGAAATGCCATTAATTTAACTGCTTAGAACAGTTTTCCAAGGAACTCTGGTGTCTCAGAATCAGCCTACCTCTTGACTCTCCATATCTAGGAGCCTGAAGGCCAAGTGGATGTGCCTGGGGGTCGGGGGGATGGCAAAGTTATCTGTAGCAAGATGAAAGGTTTATCTTTTTTAAAGATTTGGAATCTTCGTTCAGAAATGGCTGCTTTCATAATTACTTCATTCTTCCTACCCCTCTGTAGGTTCAGAAATCCTTCTTCTCACTTGGACTGACTTAGGTCAACGAAACTCAGGGTGTGTCTGGTTCGGTCACCATGCTGCCAAGCCAGCTGGACAGCCAGCCTGGCAGCAGCCCTGCCCCCATCTCAACACATTCTTAGAAGTCAATCAGATAAATTGAAGCCCATACTTGGCACCTGTGACTGCCACACAAAACAGTCCCTGCACCATGAGCGTGCAGGTTCAAATTCAACGCACTGAAGGGGAAAAACAGAAGCAAGAGCATGTTGACCTTTTTAGAAAGAGAGGAAACCCTCTCTGGCCAGACTAAATAGCTATTGACAAACCTGGCATCATTCTTAACAAAGTTTTCTGGTTATTAAGTAGAGTATCTGATGAACAAGAGATTCCAATTCCATAATGTCTATGATTTGTTTAGATCTGTGGACATGTGTGTGTTCATATGTGCACATATATACAAGCACAAATTGAATACAAAATACAGCAGTAACAACACATGAGAGTTTACAGAAACCAAAAAGACATAAACCACATCAGAAGGAAAAGGTGGATTCATCCCCTTTCCATTTTAATTGAGATTTAGGCCTAGCTCACATTCCTTTAACTATCTAAAAGCCGTAACTGCAAAGGTTTTGATTAAAACACATGTAAACACATATCCTAAATTAGCTTTGTACAAATGCTCCAAAATGTATGCAATGATTAAAAAATATACTAGACTCTTGTTGTATTTTTAAATGCTTAATAAGGAAAGTGGGTCATGCTTAAAACTCTGAATTTATTGCTAAATTGTGAAACATTGTTTCTCTTGCTTTTTGGTATTTTGAAAAACTGATTTTATTGCTTTGCACTGTGAAAGGAGCCAAGGTTCCAGTCCCTTTCCTAGCCAAGCCTACAGTCGTATGTTGGCATATTAGTGTCTGGAGGAAATAATTCTTGGTTTCTGTTATCTGTCAATTTCCATGGTTAAATTATTCTCTTTATAGCCATTTTCAAATTACCAGCATGCCCCTAACCAGCTTGCAAAATTCCTGGAAACATATTAGCCAAATCTTATGAACAATGAGAGTTAGCTTCAGCACACTACTGAGACAGGTCACGTGCTATATAGATAAAGTCTCTCTCTCTTGCTCACTCACTCGCTTTCTCTATATAGATATGTGTGTGTGTATATGTATATATACACACATATATGTAAACACACATACAGTATAAACATATTTCAGATTATGCTTAAATGCTAATTCTATCAAGTGCAGTAGACATGATAGTATGTAGTTCCCCATTCTTGAGTTTCAATTCTAAAATTATACCTTCACTTAATAAGATAAAAACATGCATGAGAAGGAATGAGTTGAAAGCAAAAAAAATAGCAAAAAGTGGCCCATCGTGCAAATCAGACCTACTCAGGAACTACAGAGAAGCTATTTCGCTTTCCCAAGAACTCCAAAGTCCCACGTCCAGCACAGTAAACGATTTAACTTCCGTGACCTCATTTTAAAAATGCAATAATCCACTTTGTTGAACTTCTTTCTTCTGAACTCTAGGTTTCCTCTGTCCTAACTGCGCTGGAAAGGGGAACTCATGGAAAGAAATACTGCTGCAAAAGGGGAAGCTTAGGCATCATTTTATTTATAAATGTTTATATTTGCTCACACATGCTTATTCTTGCATATATAAAAGTACTCTCTTGCTTTCTATAAAATCAAAATCTAGGATAGTTAGAAGGCAAATATTTGCACCAAAAAATAAAAAGAAAAAAGTTGCACCAAAATGAAGAAGAGAGAGATAGTGGTAGAAGTGGTAGGAACCCTACACACTTTCTCCCGAGGGCCACAGCATGCACACCGTGAATGGGTGCCCCCAAAGCTCCCCGGGGGAGTGCTTTCCCCTTAGTAACGTCTTTGCTGGACACTTGTAAATCTACACTGTGTGGACTGCCGGTCTTACTGCACAGAACACAGAGAAAACTGGGCAAGTCTCAGGGGCCCCCCAGCCAGTCTCCTCTGCCAGTTGAAGTCATACATTGTCCAGATAAGTCACGTAATGTCCAAATTGAGTCCTTCCGGCAATTGACTGTGAGAAAGTCTCCATGCACTCTTGATTTCCTTCCAACACTTCTCCAGTCCCTTGCATTAGGCTTCTCCTCCAGGCAACAGGTCAAGAAGATCACTGGAGGAAAATCTGTTCTTAAAACACATGTTGTGTTTGCTGGAAATTAATCGATCATTTATGCAGGAGTGGTCCTTGGTTCCTCAGCAGTACTCTACAGGCACAGTGGAGCAAGGACAAAGTGGAATGTACCTCAGAGAAGCAGTGTCTTTAAAACCTTCCCAAACAGTATGGACACTACCAGCAGCAGTGCCAGTGGGGAGGAAGGAGAGATTTCACTCCCGGATGCCTTTCCCTAAGTGCTGCACAGCCACCGCCGCCACCCTTGCACTCCTAACTTCTAACTTTGGACTCCTTGCTAAGTGATCACCTTTTTGGAGGGGGGCGAGTTATCCCCCTATTTGACATATGGAAAACCATTTTCCTAATAGATAAGGAATTTAGAACTGTGCACAAGGCTTTGATTTTACCACTGCCCCCAGCTGGAGAATCATCTTCATACTTTTAGATGGACTGGGTTCCTGCTGCCCAGTTGGTTCCTTCTCAACTGCAAAGTGGAATGTTTGGAAGTTTTGTTTATTTTTGCTTTGTTCATTTGAGTGACAGAGAAATAGACAGACACACCCAGAGCTCCTATCGACCTGTTCATTTGCGTTCCAGATCTATCTCAGCAGGAAGCTGGAGTGCAGAATCACAGCTGAAAATCAATGTTATTATGCAATTGCTAAGATGCACTGTAGCACTTCAGTCCCCAGGCCAAGTGCCCATTCTCCAAGTTTTGACTTGGAGCATCCTCAGCTATTCTTTGCCCTAAAGCCCCTTGAAGGCCCCAGGGTGGTGGCATGTTATATTTGTGGGTAAATGGAGATTCAAAACTCCTTCAATCTTACAAATCATGGGACTTGTGATAATACATTAGGGACCAATGACACTCTAAAGTATGATTTCATTTGGTTTTAATGTTTTACAAATCACATCCTTTTAAAACAAATAAAACTAGAGTGGAATTTTAAGAGCTTTTCTACCATGTACTGAAAGTCTTTTATTTCACTTTCATCTGTGCACATAGGAGGACAAAATATTTAGTCATTTCCCAAATGACACTGGAAACAGTTTTGCAATTGAGCAGTCCCCTTTTGACAGTGACTGGCAAGAATGCGTGAGAAAAAACAGGAAAAGCCTAGAAAGGGAGAAACGACACCTAGATTCTGGAGCCAGGTAGCGCACTCCCTGTCTTGCCCCTAAAACATCTTGTGCCTTGACAGAAACACAAAATGTGCAGGGAGGTGATGGGGGAATAAAACCATCTTTTATAGCAACTTCCTTAACACTCCACGAAGATGCCGTCAGCTGTTTCACCCACAAGGCTAACACTCATACTTGATCACTGATAAGTGAAAGCAAAAGGGGATTCTTACCTCCAAGTTCGCCAGGGCTGATTTTTCTGAGTGTAGTACACTTCAGCCTCAGAACAGACATGGAAGGCAGCAACATCTCAGAGCTTCTTCACTTTGAGCCTTTCGCTTGTGGGAGACGCAGATTGAAGGTTCTGTTTCTGAGATACTGCTTGGCTTTGTTCAGGATGCACCAAAGGGAGTTCTTTATCAGCAAATATTATCCTGTAAAGAAAATGGCATACTATATGTTACTACTGCAAGACTGTAAAATTGTTCACGGACAGTACAAGAAAGTGTATCCATGTTTTAAAAAGACAAATATTGCATAAATTAACTACTGCCTTGAAAGCTCTATCATATTCACTCCAATAAAATGGTTTGCATGGACTAATGTAAAGTATAAAGCATTGTTCACTTTTTTTATTTATCTGAATATGAACTCATCTAAATGAACAACGCAAGTGTGTCTGCATTTCAAATCAGACTTCTATTGAATAGACTCATTCGAAGCAAATGTTTGATTGCATTCAAGAACAAAGAAGCATGGTTTTTGTTGACTCTGCTAACTTCTTTTGTGCCCAGTTTAAACACAGTTCTTAAGAGAAATCGGTTCTCAGGTAAAAGTCATTTAATCTGATATAATTAGAAGTAGCTGAGAAAGCAAAAGAGCATTTTGGATGTCCGACTGTGTGGCATATCCTGCACAATGCTTTGAGGTCAGAGGCTTTTTATTTTGTGTAATTATATCTTATCTTGTGCTTCAGCTGCGTGTTTTACGTCAAGGTAAATGTATGTTAAATAAAGACAGACTGAAGAATGCGATTGCTGTAATGTAAAATATCCAAAATTTCATCCAAAATTAATGTGACTACTTCCACAGCTTCAACTTTTTTTTGTTTTGTTTTGTTTTAGCTCTTTAGCTGGTTTCAACTTTGATGCTTTAAAAGGAAAAACCAAAAAGCAAATCAGGTCTGTGGTGTTTCCTGTACAAGATACAGCAATGTGATTAGTCTTCTGCAAACTCGAGACAGAAACCACAAAATCTGTGCAACTACATACAGTCTCCCAATGAGCTGCTCAATAATACATTGTTAGATAATAATAGATTGGATTAGTGTGAGGTAACAAAAATGTGCCTTTAAAAAAAAAAGTTGTCTTCATCTACACTAATGTATCAGTGCTAGAAGAAAATACAAGAAGTTATGGTAGTAATAACACATTTATATGATTAAAGGGAAGTCACCGTTTATGGAGGAGACAGGCTGAGTTATGACCAGGTTATTTGTAAGGTCTTCCACCTGATTTTCAGCAGGGCTGTCACTGGTGCTTCACCTTTTCTTCCTCACTGGAAAACAAGCAGTTTGTCTTTCTCTTCAGACTTTGGGAAGCTGCCAGTAGGCACTGTTGCACAAGACGGTGCTGCCCCTTGGGATGCCCACATCCCAGGATGGTGGGCCAGCTGGAATTCTGGCTGCTCTGCCTCTAATCCCACTTCCTGCTGACACACTCAGGGAGGCAGCAAATGATGGTTCCCAGGAATCCACTAGAACACCCAGATGGAATTTTGGGCTCCTCACTTCCCCCTAATCTATCCCTAGCTTTTTTCAGGCATTTGGAAAGTGAATCAACATGGGAAAGTCCTCTCGTCTTTTTTGTTTTCTTTCTCTCACTCACTCGATCTGTCTTTCAAATAGATCAGAATTTTAAAATGAAACGTTTTAAAAGAGAATTTGGATATATTATTCACTAGAAAAGAAATGACACATGTACAGAATTATCATTTGTGAGTCAAGAGTATAGTCCCAGTATTTCATTCCTTGATCTTTGGGATGATTTTGTGTACTCTTGTTATAAAATTAAAGTGATATTGCCTCTCAGCTTTTTGCCTAAGATCAGGTGTAAAATTAAGGTGATAATCATAGGCAGATATCAGAAGGAATACTCAAGTAGGAGCAACTCATTCATTAAGAAGACTGGAGGTAGTTTCTCTTATTTTATTTGTGTTATTTAAATGAATGTCAGTTTTTAAATCAGTGAAAAAAAGCAATTAGAACATGAGATAATAAACATGGAGAAAAATTTGAAAAATGCTGTGAAACAATTTAAAATGTCATCATCATAGCATCAGATATTGCATGTTTGAAATTACAAAGAACATGGGACTTTGTAATAATTATGACTTCCTAGCTTTGCTTTAGTGGCCAAAGAGTGATAATTACCACCTACTTTCCATTTTTCTCAAGTTAACTGGAATGTTTTATCAGTAATCCAAGAGAAAGAATTTTTGCCAGAAACGGAACATTTGGCATTGCTACATTTCCATCATTAGCAGAATGAGAACTTTGAAGGAAGAGCAGAACAGCAAATGAAACAGGAAATATAAAGAAAATCGAAAGCATTATCACAAATTTAGCTCTGTCCACATCATTAATTACATTAAAAGCAAATGGTCTCAACATTCAAAAAGCAGAGATGAAGTGAATAAAGTCATTTCTTTGCCCTCTGCAAGAGACTGTCTTTAAAGTCAAAGAAATATGTATTGAAAGAATAATATGAAAAAATGAGTGCTAAGGTGTGTACAATTCCATGAATGGGATTTCCACTAAAAGTAAAGATATTCTAGATTTTCTCTTGGGTCAACGTTGATATCTTCAAGCATTCCTTGACACCTGAACTTATTTAAGACAAACTGTATTCACCTCTCTGAATCTGCAGGCTAACACTGATGTGCAGGAGGCTGCATAACCTGCGTGGCCTCCAGTTCCTACACTAATGGCAAGAAGAAAGGGCAACTACTACAAGCCATCAACATCCAAGCCACCAGACACTCCATAGATGTGTGTGGTTTGGTCATATGCCAGGCTGTAGTAAGTGCTTGACTGGCAAGTCCTGGACTGTATAAACTTTCTGCTCTGGATGGAGGACAGGAGTTTGGTAGCCAATGGCAACAGTACCATTCAAAAATTGATGATTTGATTGACAACGCTGTAAAAGAAATCATTTCACTGCTGGTATCTAAGTTTGTTTCAGTGCTGGAAGGCGTGTTGTCTAAGCTGTCACGGTCTGATGAAGGCACTTTCTTCTCATATATCCTGTCATTCACTGTCAAAGCAGCTGCAAAATATGTTGATGTCCCAAAACCAGGAATGGATCTGGCAGACACATATATTATATTTGTTTGGCAAAACCAGGACATTTTTCAAGAAAGTCAATGAGGAAATGTACAGAGAGAAGTTATCTGATCAATGGTACAGCAGCTCCATGAAAGTCATTTGTGTATGGTTGGTTGATAGATCAGACCTCCAGCTTCATATTTACCAACTGAAGAGTCTCATCAAGATTGTGAAGAAAACTTACAGGGACTTCCGACTGCAGGAAGTGTGAGAAGGAACCCTGAACAGCAAGGCCTCTGATACTCTGCACAGACGCCCCACAGAGGAGGAAGCCTCTGCCTCGGTCTCAGAGGGAGGAAGGCTTCAGGGCATTCCAATGAAAGACAGTGATGAAGAAGGCCAGTAACACACAGCACTGGTGACAAAAGCAGGATCTCGGCATCGATTTTTATACCTTGTCCTTGTAATTACATTTGTTGTCTTGACCAAATAAACACACTAGTATTTCTTTTCAAAGTAAGCGTGGAAGTCGAGTTAAAGGTGAAATATCAAATTTTTGTTTGGTTTGGTCATTTTAAAAAATCATCTCTTGCATAGCTTAACCCAAAATGAGCCTTGGTTCTGTTTGTGTTTGGAACATGAAGTAAGTTTTCAGTGAATTTGACCTTTTTAATTTTTTGTAAACACGCCAAAGATTGAATCAGGTGAACATTTCCATTTCCTAAACATTTAGACAATTTTTTAAACTCTAACAATTTATTTATGGAATACAGTGTGACATTTCAATACATGCATACAATGTATACTGGGCAACTCACATTGATTGAATCAATGAGGCTATAATATTCTTGTCATCACTTCCTCTTGCTATTTTGTGTTTGCTCAGAAAATGCGTACTAGGGTATTATAGAATAGTCACCCAGCTGTGTTGTAGAATGTTAAAACCTGAGTATGTGTGGTATAAATCCTTCTAGACAGCACAACTCAGAATGGCATGCCAAAGACCAGATTGGAAACACCTCATGCTGGCAGACAAAGAATAGTATCTAGAATTGGCCGCAGGATGTGATTAGTAAAACTGGAAATTAGCTACAGCAGACTCCTACCCTCTTGGTAAAATGCCAAAGGCTCTTTGCCTTTTCATGCTGAGTCTCTTCTTTTCTATTTTATCCTTTGCTTTACTCTGACATTGTTCTCTTCCGTTTCACCCATGTACCGTTGGTTACGTTTGTTCACATTTCAGATCCTGCTTTGGTTCCTAGCCATGCCATACACTTCCTCATTAAAGCATGGGTAATTCTGCAGATTTCAGCTAGTGCAGAGTTTGAGAGCAGATCTACTTTCCCACTTTGTTAGATGAGTCACTTTCCTGCCCATGAGGAGATGGCATAGAAATCAGAGTTTTACTGCCATTTTTTTCCTCCTCACATCTTCTTTACAAATGGTGTTGTCAGCAGCTTGTCTGAAGTGCTTAGAAGTTTGATCTCACTACTGTCTGTCCTGCTAGTCTTCAAGCACTTCCCTCTGTGTATGCATGTGTGAGTTTATCTGTGAGTGAACACATGAATGAAGATCGTACATTTAGAAGGGAGGCTTGTTCATTTTCTGAGTATATGAAGGGGACGATGTAAAGGATTACAGTGCAAGAAGGCCATTTGGGATGAAACTGACGTGGAGCAGTGAAGTTCCCTCTTTTTTTTTTCCTAGTGGGAGAGGCAAAAAAGCTGGAGGAAGCTGGCCTCTGCTGCCTGCCTCTCCATGCCAGGCATGCAGCTAGGCATGTTTCCAACAGAAGGTCTTTTCATCACATTGGCAACACCAAGGTGGTGACAAGGCTCTTCTTTCTGTTCCACAAAGGATACAACTGAAACCAATGGAGTCCAAGGCTATCAAGCCAGCAGTGACTGATATATGAAATACTATTAAATCTGTTCTCTTTATATAAAATTTTAAAACATGTGAGGAGGAAAAATAGTGATAAAATTCTGATTGCAATGCCATTTCTTCATGGGCAGGAACTTGAGGAGATGTCACTAGACAAGAAGTGAAAACACAGACGCCCAGGGAAACACTACAATTTATCTTTGTAGGACTTGGCGTATGGAAGAC